CGGGGGACGTTGGTAACTCTGTAACAAATTCTTGTTATTATTATTATTATTTTTATTATTATTATATGATACTTGAATATCAATTTTTTTTTACACTAAAACAAAAGTGTTAATTCAAATAAGTTTCTAATTCTTATAAAGTTGTATGCTTCTCTCATATAAATTGTTTATGCAGTAAATTCTTATAAATGTGAAACATTTAATTTTGAACAGACATGTCCTTTTCTGTTCAAAGCATTGACCAAAAAAAATTTCCAATAATGTTAAGTTTCATCTAGCTTGCTTAAAATCTCTGAGTGGCGAATTTCAGTTGTATAATAATATGAGCCACGTCATGACAAAATCAACATAATGGGTTTACGACCAGCATGGATCCAGACCAGCCTGTGCATCCGCGCAGTCTGATCAGGATCCATGCTGTTCGCTATCAGTTTCTTTACTTGTTATAGGATCTGTAAGCGAACAGCATGGATCCTGATCAGACTGCGCGGATGTGCAGGCTAGTCTGGATCCATACTGGTCGCAAACCCATTATGTTGGTTTTGTCATGGCACGGCTCATATTTCAAGTAGGATATTTTGAAATGGCATACATTATGTGTTTTATTGACTTACATTATGTGGTGTTTTTTTTTTTGCCAAATATAATTTAGTTTGTAAAAACGTGCAATTATCTGTTTATATCAATTTAAAATCACTTAAGTTTTAAAAACACATAATTTAATGCCTCAGAAATAAAAAAAAATTTCATTCCTTTGAAAATTAATGGAACGTATGAAATTTAAAACATATAGATATAAGAGAATGTTACATGCTTTTCACTTGAAGAAATTATCTGAATTTGAAATTATTTGTCATATTTAATGTAATGAAATATTTTGATTCCATACAAAATACTAAATCACTATAATGTACTTTAATTGCCAAAACGCAAATTAAGCAAAAGGCAGTTTCGGTAATTGGCCAATTAGTAACTTTTTGGAAACTTTACCATAAGACCAAAAATAAAAGCTATTGAGAAATGAGAATAAAAGCATTTCTGGGGCATGATTATGGGCGTTTATGTAACTGAAAATTTGCATGTTGATGTTTCTATTTTAAAAGGGTGCGTGATAGAAATTGCAAATTTTATTATGAAAACAAGTAAATGTCTGGTGATTTATTCTCACAAATGATCTATAGATTTATAATAAATAAATCTCTTTTTACAGCAGCTTAACTTCACAAAATAGGACAACTGGAAGCGTGTAAAACGTTTTAATTTATAAATAAATTACAGTAGACCTTTACATGATATAAATGTAATATAATAGTTTTATAAAAACTTTAAAAATCGATCATGTATTTCGAAAATGACTAGACTTTTTGCCAGTTAAAAGTGTTGATGACATGTCACGGGTTCTCTTTAGAATTACTTCACGAAAGCCGTGAGATTACGCGCTCTGACAGCAACAAGTATGATTTTTACCACTTTCAATCAATAAAAATCATGCAGATTTTGATGTCAGCTTTGGATAGTATTTTAATTAATTTTTTCATATGGTAGCCGTATAAAAACAGAATTTATCTGGACTGTTCAAGTATTTTATTAAGACCAGTTACTGTATAATTATGTACATTGATTCAACATGCTATATTATATTTGAGCACTGACTACAAAGATTTACTTGTTGATTCATAATGTGAACTTGCATGTACTGACTCAGGCCTCATTAACCGTATTTTTTTTTTCATAAAAAAATGGTTACAAAGGTCTCTCTGACATATTTCCTTTGCATGGAATACCATAGTAATTTATCAATAGGGACAATTTTGTGCAAAAAGATCAAGGTATGGATTGTATATTATTACATTGAAGATACTAATCAAATAACTGATTTTAAAGGCCATATAACTTGCTTAAGTGAGTGGTAAAGTGATCCAGTTATTTAATGTATTAAAGCATGTATTTGAAAATGGGAAGAAAGATGTTGATAAGTAATTGATAGTTCTTGTGTGAATCTTATATAATTAATAAGCCAATATAAACATACATTTATTAAGGATGTGAAAATCAGGTAAACATGAGGAAGGATAGAGAAAGTGCACTGCCACCCCGTAACAACATGTCCCGTTATTTTGCTAACCTCAGTATAATTCTCATAGCCCCCCCCCCCTTCCCCCCCAAAAAAAAAATTGTATTATTTCCAATTGTATTTGCCTTTATTAAATCATGCTTAAGACTACTGGAACCAAAAGTGAACAGTCTAAAATTGCAACCAGTATAGCACCAGGCTAGCCTCCACATCCATGCTTTCTTAAGTTATCAGACTCAATACTCTTGGCTGACAAAAGCTATGTTTTCCCCATTGATAATGTCCAGTTCCAAAAAAAGTTACAGCACTCCCACCAATAAATTCAGAAATATTGCCAATAAATTATGCATTCTAACTAATTAATTTAGAATTGCCACCAATAATTAAATACTCACTGCAACATTGCCTCTTGATTTCTCCAAAATTGATAATAGACAACCCTAGAAACAAAAGCAGGCCAATTCCATTTAAGAAAGATAAGTGTAAAAACAGTTTTTAAGGACACACTCCGGTAAGGTGGATTTGAAAGTAATAACCATTATGTTTTCATCATATTTCTTTTTCCAACACACTTTCAAACAGGCAATTTTAGTTTCTTCATGTTTGATTTGAGTTTTAATTTCAACTGAAGATGCTTATTTTCAATCTATTTTATAACATTAGAAAAAAATTATACTTCACTTTTAAAAGTACACTTTCTCTAAAAATCAAAGGAACGACCTTATAGTAAGTAGTTCAAAAAAAATGAACATGTTTAAGTTGTAGTTTAAATTGTCAACTTTAAATTTCTCTTTTGTTAGGTTTTAAGTGTGAAATTTAATGTGTAAAAAAATCTTTTTGCACTGTACTTCAAATACTTTATGTGAAATTTGATAGTGCATGTGAATATTTTAATAAATAAAGCAGCTTTCATCCATCAGTCAGACTGTATGCAGGCACAGATCTGGGATTTTTTTATCAGAGGGGATATATCGCAAAATTTCGATAAAGGGTGATGCATATTGAAGAGTTTGGCATTTTACTAGATTTTTTTTTTTTTCATAGGGGGTCACATGTCTCTTTCATGGTATTTTACATATAGTAATACTTTATATAAACTGATTTATTATATGATCTAAATATAGCTGCAATCTCATTGGTCCAAACAGTAGTCAACAGAACTTTTTATAAAATCATATTCACTGGGTGTAGTATCATATTCACTGGCTGAATTGGATTTTCCCAGTCTAAAAATAGATTGGGACTCATATTCAATGATCATACACCGTAGACTGTTAATTACGCGTGTTTATTAAAACATAATTATTGTTTTTTGTTCTTTATGGCATAATATCAATACTTTACTATTATACTTAACAGCGTTATTTTTGTATTCGCAGCGTTTGCGTAGTTGTTGCATTCCTAACAAGTGCGTCTTTTTTCCCGCGCTTCAACGAGGCAAATTTTGTACATGTATAAGGTTTTACTTTTTGTGATTTTTTTTGGATTTTTTAGCCTATTCAATATGCCTCGGTCAATATGTCATCTGCCGGTGAATATCACATCATATTCAATGGCTCACTAGTCAATAATTGTATAAATTTTAGCTGAGTCTAAAGTTAAATCTCATTTGGGGAGGAGTAATTACTCCCCTCCCTCTCTTTCCTTTCCTCCCATCTGGATCCTCACATGGTTTGTAGATGTTACAACTTCTTATATTTAAAGCTGTTAACAGACATTTAAAGACAGCTATTGGCAACTGCTTCTACTATATTTAAAATTTCCGCCATCCCTAGTTTTCTTGCAATGTTAAGGTAAAATTAAGTTATCAATGCTTTTATAGGTTACCTTTAAAAAGGTCCTGCAGACAAACTGCTTCCCCTGTTATTGCTTTACTTATCCTGTAGTATGAATACAGATTTTGAAATGTATCAAGCTATGTTTAATTAATTTTAACAATTTGTCTTTTATAGGCACAAACCATGACTTTTCACATATTTCTTACAGAGATTTAGGATGTGAAAACCATTAATGTTAAGGCACTCTTTTTTACATAAATTATCCTGTTTAAGCTTATTTAAAGAGTTTTTATGTGTCAAAAAGAGCAAATTTAAATCTTATGCACTTAACAACCAAAAATATTGCATATATATTAATTTGTAAAGGCAACTGCTTGAAAAACTTGTTAAAGTGATGTCTTTTGCTTAGTGGTTTAGGTTTGTTAACTTCAAATCACTTTGATCACACGACTGTGAGTTTGAATCTTGCCAGGGTCTTTGGATTCTTTCATGCGAGAAAGGTATCTATCCGGCTTACGAAACATCGGTGGTTATACTTGGGTGCCTGTTTGTGCCAGATAAATAATGCATAGAGGGGCACTCGAGGTCTCCCACCTGTAACCAGGAAACCTGAAAAGTCACCTTAAATTATGACCATTACTGTTTGGATGGATGTAAAAACCCAACCAAAAAGAGAAAAAAAAACTTGTTAAAGGGTATGAATCTATATCTTATTAAAAAAATTTAAAAAATTTATCAACAGTAAAATTATATTGGTTAGTTGATTCCTGAAAAAGTTGTAACATAGAATGTCTCTGTTATTAAACACACATAAATATTGTACGTAAACAGAAAAAACTGTTCTGGAACAAAAATATTATTTTGCTATTTTAAGTAAGGTTTTATCCGTTTAGCAATGGTTTTGTGCATGCGTCATTCTCTTTTAAGGCAATTATTTACCATATTAATTTCATACAAGCCTTTTGCAAGTATTCTTTTTTAAAATTCAAACTATAATTTTTGCAGCAGATATATATCTTTTTACACTTCAAGATTATGTTGACAAAATAAGATTTTAGGGGAAAAAACAAATTGACAAAATGTATGAAAGCTGAATTGAAAGCTGGTTAGATTTATATGATAATTAGTATGTTTTTTTATCATTGCAGATAATAGTGTCTATGTTGTCTGTACCGGCAATATTTTACCGACCAAAAGGGCGGGAGGAAGAATCTGATGCTGCCAGGGAGAAGTTTCAAGTTCCCGAGAGCGATCATTTAACCTACCTCAATGTGTACTTGCAGTGGAAAAGAAACGGGTATGTTTGCTGTTATTTATATATACAGCCATAATTTCAATATGTAAAGCTCAAGTTTAACTTATTTGTGATTGTAATTTGTGATTGTAATAATTTTTGTATTTTATATAATTATGAGCCACGTCACAACAAAACCAACATAGTGTGTTTGTGACCAGCATGGATCCAGAGCAGTCTGCGCATCCGCGCAGTCTGATCAGGATCCATGCTGTTCGCTTACCAACTATTACAAGTAGAGAAACTGATAGGGAACAGCATGGATCCTGATCAGACTGGGCGGATGAGCAGACTGGTCTGGATCCATGCTGGTCGCAAACGCACTATGTTGGTTTTGTCATGACACAGCTCATATATATTGTATTAACTACAAGTGTAGCTTGCTCAAACTCAGTTACTATTTGTTAAAAATAACCCTTAGTGAAACTTGCGAGATAAAAAAAAAATCCCTTAAAGAAAAAAATAAATGCATAATATAATATTATATAATTATGTGAGATTGTCTGTTATACAGAATACTGTATGTATTTAAAAACATTCCTAATTCTTTTTTTGTTGCAATGGTAAGAAATATGCTGGCAGGTAAAATTTAATAATAATAATAGTAATTTCTTGCTTTGAAGGGTACAGAAATGTGTTTTGTCTATTTAGTTTGATTTCAGTATCTCAATAAAAATATCGTTACACTTTCTATTTTTGCCTTCGTCCACCAATAAAATTGAAAAATCAAAGATTAACTTAAAATGGGTCAAAGTCGCAGTATGATTTGAAAAAAAATCAGTGTGACTTTATTATGTTCTTTTTTGTGATACTGGAAACTTTTAAATAAATCAAACACCGTCCTACCTTCAAAGCAGTATCGATAACAAAATGTTTAGCAGGGGAAAAGGTAAATGTATTGTGTCAAACATTTACACTATAAAACTATACATCATCATTCTGTACTTTACATGACTGATTTTATCTTCTTCTTACGCCTCGAGCTGCGGGATTGGATTTGCAATTTCATTGACAAACATTTTGTACAGTCAGTGTTAATTTCTTTAGAGAATCTAATTTAACCATTACCCATCCTCAGTAACCCACGCATACTTGGTACGTTTACACTCCATTTATGTGATGAATGTAGTAAATGGAAAGTTCTGACGATGCCTTTACCCAGCCGGCAGCCACTGGGCATACCCATGCGACCAGTGCAGACCAAGGTCAGGGGAAGCCAGTGCATCCATGTGGTATTAACATGGTCCAGTGATTTTTTTACCTGCTCAGTCAGTATCCAAATTCAAAATATAGACATTTTTTCCCCAATTTCAAACCAAAAAATTCCCAAATATATAAGCTTGAGATATCATATTCGCTGAGTAAATATATTGATGACCATTTTGTAGGAATAGTTCATGTCAAATGTGCTGATGCTGCCAATATAACAAATGCCATTCAAACATATTCCCAATTTTGGCATCACACTGCACATTTTTTACCCAATTAGATCAGACCCTTCCAAACTGGTACTCAATTGAAGTGTAACTAGTAAAATTAAGGAATTGCCCTTAATTTGATCATATCTCTTTTTACATGCTTTTATATGAAGAATTTAGGGTTAGGTAAAAATTTAACTTACTTTGTTTATTGTATTAATTTGTGTAATTATTCTAATTATTCTCAAAAGAATTAATATTACTATCATAATAATGTACATAAAAACGCAAAAATGTGACGATTGGTTTTTGAGATGTACATTGGTTTTCCAGTGAAGTTCAAGCCCAGTAAACTGACAATTACATGTATAGGTTAATTTAAGAATGAGAAGACAACATTCCTTTAAAGTATTTATCGAAACTTGTTTACAATGCTTTATATGGAAATTAGTCACAACTTGTTTACATGTTCTGTATGGAAATATTTCGTAACTTGTTAACAATACTTTATATAGAAATTTGTCATATCTTACAACTTATTTATAATGCTTTAATTTATATCATTTTCTTTTTTTCAGGTACTCAAGTTCCTGGGCAAACACTCATTTCATTCATATAAAGGCTATGAGAAAGGTAATTTATAAGTTGTGTAGAAGTAAGACAATTAGGCAAAAAATAAAGATAAAAACAAATTTACAGTTATAGTATACAAGTATCTATAATAGTTGTTTGGTCATACTGTGTTACTCCAATTTTTAGACATGATGCATACAGTGAATATTAATAATAAGCAAGTTTTTAAATGCTGTGTAGAAAAAAATTGGTTGGTGGATCTACTCTGTTCTGAAATAATGCATAGAGGGCACCTAAGGTCTTTTATCACCAGTTATGCTAGGAAGTTATTATATAACCTTTACAGTGTTGATGTGAGTTGACTTGAAATCAAAACAAAACAAAACAAGATTGGCTTGAACATATATACAGAAATAGTGCATAACAGACTTTTGCATAGTATTTTTATTACTTAAAGTTACTTTTACTATAATATACTTCTTACATAGTGTTCAGAGGGGTGTCCGTGGCCGAGTGGTTAGGGTGGTTGACTACAAACCACTTGCTCCTCACCGCTGTGGGTTCGAATCCCGACAGGGACTTTATATTCTTTCATGTGAGGAAGCTATCCAGCTAGCTTACGGAATGTCAGTGGTTCTACTCAGGTGCCCGTTTGTGCCTGAAATAATGCACGGAAGGGCACCAGAGGTCTTCCTACACCAGCAAAAACCTGGAACGTCGCCGAATGACCTATACTGTGTCGGTGTGACGTAAAACCCAAAACAAACAAACAAAACATAGTGTTCAGTAAACTGTTTTGTCATGTCATTACAGTCATGGATTTCTGTTGATAAAGTGCATGCCTGATAAATTTAGCTTTATCAGTCACCCTCAGTGTAATCAGACCTCCATCAATACATATTGAAATAAAATAAAAATAATACAAAATTTAATATAATACTAGTTTGAAAATATTAATCTGATTAACTTCAAAACAAATACATTTTTGGATTGTAAAGTCTCTCTTACATTTGACTAAAACATTTGGGACAATTTCTTAAAGATATTAACCCTTGACATATTATTACTCACCGCATGAACTTAAGGGGTGCTTGACAGGTTTTTGTTTCATTTGAAATATAAAAAAAGAAACGCATATTAAAATTGCAAACATGATAAACAGAATACGAAACTTAGTGTATGATATTATAAATTTATCAGACTCAGCACGAAAAAAATGAAAGGCTCGGCAGAGCCTCACTCTTCTTTTATTCTTAGCCTTGCCTGATAAATATTGTAATATCTGACACTACCATGGTATTCTTTATATATTTGAAGGCTTTTGTGATATTTTAGGTACGGGAGGTTAGGAACAGTTATATTTTAATGTATTTGTGATATTTTAGGTACGAGAGGTTAGGCAGCAGTTAAAGGAAATAATGGACGCGCAGAAGATGGAGTTGATATCATGTGGTAACGAATGGGACATTGTCCGTCAATGTATCTGCTCTGCTTACTTCCAGCAGGCTGCTAGGCTAAAGGTAATCTATTCAGTACTAATCAGTCAGTTATATTCTGGATTTGTTTCGTTTAAAATTGCAGAATTTAAAACTCATTGAAAATCTTATGTGTTTAATGTAAGAAATATGTCGGTCACATTTCATCATGAAACCATTTAATAGACACCATTTGACTTAAATTTGTACATCATGAAGCAAAATGTTTCTGATTGGTCAATTTATAGCTCGCTATATTCAGCCTTCTGTATCACACCGAAATAAACCCTTCTTCAAATTTCCTACATTACTTGAATCACGTTTACCAGAAATCATGTAGGCGATCAAATCATCACATGGAGAAAAAAATATGTTTCATCTTATAGTACATCAGCAAACTTATCAATTGAAGTTATAACAGTTCTTTGAAATATTTTTGCTGCTAATTAACCATAGCATGTTACAAAAAAAAATTGTTTATCGAGGAAGTTTAAAAACTTTGGGCGCCCTTTTGATATAAACAAAATTGTTGACCCCAGGTTGGGGTTATATACACATATTCAGATCCAGGATGAGTTTGTTTCACATGTTTAAATTTATGGAAGAAAAAATGTTTTTATTGTCTAATGTCAAATTCGTCATCTGAATTATTAATTATTACCTCCTGGTGTTCAAAGTAAAGATAGTAAAGAAGTATCAAAGCCTTTGATATCCTTTTATATGACACAAAAGCTTGAATTTGTCATCAATGTCATGAAAAAGCTTGAAATTGACAAAAATCTCATGAAAACACTTGAATATGTCAACAGTATGGTGAAAAAGTTTAAATCTGTCGAGGGTGAGATCGAAAAACTTTTTAAATTGCCAAAAGTCTAATGAAAACACTTGACTTTGTCAACATTATGATGTAAAAGCTTAAATTTGCCAGCAATGTCATGAAAATGCTTGACTTGGACAACAGTGTCTTTGTATGAGCCTGTTAAAATGCCATTGGTGTCATATAAAAACATGATTTTGGCAACATTGTCATACTTATTGCCAAAAAACAACAGATTAAAAAGATGGTTCAGGTAATTGGCCAATGAGTATATTTTGGATAATATAAAAGTACATCAAAATAAAAAAGCTTTTGAGAAAATAAATGCATTTCTGAGGCATATGGGCCTTTAAGGCAAATGAAAAAAGTATTTATATCCTTACATTAAATTTTGACTGAATATGTTATGTTTATCTTGATAACTATTTATAGGGTTATCAAAATAATTCAATGTTTTTGATTTACATTTATCACTGATATAAAACAGATAAAACAGTTATAAATCGGGCAAAAACAAACAAATGTTATTTATTTACAAGAGGTTTTTATGACAAGATATTGATTATGTACAGCTGATAAAGGGTGTTGCTCATTTTTTGTTTAAATTAAATTCAATATTTTCTTTGATATTAGCCCAAAAAGTGTTGTAATACACTTAACAAAATGTTGCTAAGTACTCAAAATTTAAAGGGGTATATCTCCTTATCCAAAATTTGAAGATATATGATACTTTGTATACAAAGTCAAATCAGCATTGTCTTTTATTGTTGCTGTGTTTTAATAATAAAACATTGGTTGTATTAAATGCCAGAGTATGGCTGCTTAAAACAGGTTTTTAGCTCGACTATTCGATAAGAATAAGTAGAGCTATTGCAGTCACCCGAGCGTCCGCGTCGGCGTCGGCGTAACCACTTATGTTAAAGTTTTTGTAATAGTTCAAATATTTTCAAAGTCCATTGACATATGGCTTTGAAACTTTGCACACTTGTTCACCATCATGAACCAAACCTGTAAACAGGAGGAGGCAACTCTATCAAGCATTTTGACAGAATTATGCCCCTTTTTCGACTTAGAATTTACGTTAAAGTTTTTGTAATAGTTCAAATATTTTCGAAGTCCATTGACATATGGCTTTGAAACTTTGCACACTTGTTCACCATCATAACCCCAACCTGTAAACAGGAGGAGGTAACTCTATCAAGCATTTTATTTACTATCAAGCACTAAGAATAGTCGAGCGTTGCTGTCCTACCGACAGCTCTTGTTTGACATGCAGTATAGGTTTTTAACAAAATACCAAATGTCTTGAATGACGTGTAGACTAAGAGACAGAAAGTTCCTTGTAAATCTATTACAAAAAGGGGTATAATCGTAGTATAAATGTCATATTTACAAGTTTGTACATTATTTTTAAGGGGGGAGGTGTGTCATTGGCTGAGTGGTTAAGATCATTCTCAGACTTCAAACCATTTGCCTCTCACCACTGTATGTTTGGAATCCCTAAAGAGACTTTTGAATACTTCATGTGAGGAAGCTATCAATTTGGTGTCAGTTTGTACCTGAAATTACTGTTTCATGAAAAAAATTGTCACAAAATTGAACATGTAGAACAGGTAATCACAGGTTTTCCCTAAGAAAATGATTTTATACAAGCAACAAAAATATCAGAATGTGAGTTGTACATTGGCATATAACGAAAAATGTCGTTGACAATTGTTCCTTGTTTTAAATAAAGTGTAGAATATGGCTGTGAAAAACAAACAGAAAATGATTGTCAAAATTTCAAGTCAACAATCCAAATATTTACTTGAAAAAAAAAACAACAACAAAAAACATACTAGTATTATCACAGTACTTAGCACTTTGTTTAGTGTGGATAATAATAAAATTACTATTTGTGGCTCCGTTTGGAAATGAGACTTTATTCATTTAAGGTAGACCATGGGTAATGGGAACCATAAGGAACTGTAAAATTGACAACATAGGACAGTTATATGTCTTCAAGGTCACCTGTATGCAAAATTTAAATAAAATTTACCGTGTGATTTATGAGTTATGGATATATTTCTGAATTAAGACTTTGCCATTAGAAGGGCTCATTTTCAGAAATGAGGAAACTCTAAATAATCTGTAATATCATCATTATTAAAAATGTTTTTTTATCGCCCATTGTTAAGAAACAAATAATAACATTCAGGTAACAAATTACACAAGCAAAATGTTTGTTTCTAAACAAAATGTTCTTAATATGTATAAAAATGTTACCCTACCCCACCCACTTAAACACTAATTTTGCCATTTCCCTATCTAAAATGATTTATTCAAAATATTCCTAAATTTTACCATAATGAGGGGCTGTTTTCAAAGTTTGCTTAAATTTTCTTAAAGGTATATTGGTTGATCATGCAAAATGTAAAATACTTTTACTGTGTAGTTTTTATTTTATTAAACTTTGAAAATATCTGGTATCATATTTGCTATAAATTTTGGCATTATTAAGCAAATAAATACCTATAATAATTATATAATTTAAATCAAACCCTTTTTCTTCAATAAGGGATCAGAGAGATACAGTGGAGCCTTGCTAATCCGAACCCTTCTAATCCGGAATCCTTTCTTATCCGAACGAAGTGTCCGGTCCCAAATTTTATTCGTTCTATTTTCGATAGTAAAAAACCTTTCGGATCTGGAATCTGTCTACTCCGAATTCCGGACGATTTTTTCGATTTTTGTTCTTATTTTACTCTAAAATTTACCTCTCGGATCCAAAACAGATTTTGCCAAATGTCACATCTTCATTCAAAATAACAAATAATCGCACATCTTGCAGGTGTAAACATACACCAAACTGATGTGTTATTTCACTTGATTAATGGGTGAAACAGTATGATCTGCGAAGGTGTGAAAATTACACTTAGCTTGCCTTGATATCTTCTATAATAATCTTGAAAGACCGAAACCGGTAGATCCTAGAATAAACCAGTTATAAACCATCCTGATGTTTGATGTGTATTCTCTCCTTCCTTTGATTTACTTGTGTATCTTCTATAATTGCTTAATTGATTGTTTTTCGTCACCTTCAATAAATATTTTGATATGTTGCAATAAAAATATCTTTTAATCCTTTGTAATGGATTCAATGATACGTGATTAAGCAATGAAAATTAATAAAAAAATGTCAGTGAATACAGATAGTCGCTGAATCGGATAAGAGTAAACAACAATTGACAAATGCTGGTACGAATATTTAATTATGTCTCCGCCTCCTGCTTTACATCGTAGGTGAACTTACCCTTGAGGACATAATATTTTTTTGCTTATTTATTTATTTATTTTCATTTCTTTATTTTTGTATTCACATGTATTAGAATGAACGATAAGAGACTGCAAAAATAAAATATCTAAATTGCAATTTCAATTGCATTCCCGTTTTCTTTCCCTACATGTAACATGAAAAAAACATGTAAAAGAACCTTCTAATTCGGAAACCTTTCTAATCCGGAAACCTTTCTAATCCGAACTTTTCTTCTGGTCCGGACAAGTTCGGATTAGACAGGTTCCACTGTACTTAAATAATGTTAAAAAGAAAAAAAAGTTTCCCCTTCTGGGGTTTGAACCCACGCCATTCAATGTCAATGTAGTTTGCAAGCGTTGTAAAATAACCTTTAATGTAAGATGACCCAATTACAATATGAACAGTAGTGTGTGTAGAATATTTAATGTAAAATGACCTTGAACTTGCTTAAGTCACAACTTGAATAGTGGTTTGTATAAAACCACATTTTATGTAAGATTACATTAAACTTGACCCAGAAACAACATAAAAAGGAATGTGTGTTGTATAACCTTTGATAACCTTCACTTGACCCAGTTACAACATAAACCATAGTGTGTGTAGAATAACATTTGATATAAGATAACCTTGAACTTGACATAGTCACCCACTTTTAAAAAAAAGTTATGGCCTTCAATATGTAAAAAAAAAGAGAATGCGCCTCAAAATCCATTTTGTATTTATGTGTAATAGGTTATTATAAATCTGCAACCATTTAACCTATTTGAAATAATGAATAAATCCTAAATTTGATATTGTTTTTATTTGCAGGGTCTAGGTGAATATGTGAACACTCGTACCGGAATGCCGTGCCATCTACATCCAACAAGTGCCTTATTTGGTATGGGATACACCCCAGACTATATAGTATATCATGAACTTGTGATGACCTCTAAGGAATACATGCAGTGTGTTACAGCAGTAGATGGTCACTGGTTAGCTGACCTTGGTCCTATGTTTTACAGTGTTAAAGATTCTACTAAATCTAGACAGGTTGGCATATGGGTTATCTTTAATCTAAATACAAATGTAGTACTCTTAGTTATTTCTGAGAAGAAAAATAAGTGAACATTTATTTTTATTGAAATCAATACTTTCTGTTAAATTATAATGTTTCATTAAAAGGGGCGTCCATGGGCGAGTGATTAAGGTCGTTGACTTCAAATCACTTGCCCTTTACCGCTGTGGGTTTCAATCCTGACGGGCTTTGGATTCTTTCATGTGAGGAAGCTATTTAGCTAGCTTACAGAACAACTGTGGTTCTACACAGGTGCCTGTTCCTGCCTGAAATAATGCACAAAAGGGCACATGAGGGTTTCCTCCTCCAGTAAAGCCGAAAAGTCGTCATATGAACCATACTGTATTGGTATGACGTAAAAGCCAATCAAACAAACATATGTTACATCAAAAGAAATAACAGCACTGGTAGAGAAATCCATAATCTTGATTAACATACACATTGCACTGGAGGGTAATAATTGTAGGTCATTACAGCGTTCAGACTTCACAGAGGTGGAGGCTAACCTTACTCTGTAATGATGATATAGGCACTTTGTAGCTGATTATATTTAAAGAGAGATAATTGGTATTTTATGTCTATGTATTATATATAGGAGAGAGAGATAATTGGTATTTTATGTCTATGTATTGTATATAGGAGAGAGAGATAATTAGTATTTTATGTCTATGTATTGTATATAGGAGAGAGTGATAATTGGTATTTTATGTCTATGTATTGTATATAGGAGAGAGAGATAATTGGTATTTTATGTCTATGTATTGTATATAGGAGAGAGAGATAATTGGTATTTTATGTCTATGTATTGTATATAGGAGAGAGAGATAATTGGTATTTTATGTCTATGTATTGTATATAGGAGAGAGAGATAATTGGCATTTTATGTCTATGTATTGTATATAGGAGAGAGAGATAATTGGTATTTTATGTCTATGTATTGTATATAGGAGAGAGAGATAATTGGTATTTTATGTCTATGTATTGTATATAGGAGAGAGATATAATTGGTATTTTATGTCTATGTATTGTATATAGGAGAGAGAGATAATTAGTATTTTATGTCTATGTATTGTATATAGGAGAGAGAGATAATTGGTATTTTATGTCTATGTATTGTATATAGGAGAGAGAGATAATTGGTATTTTATGTCTATGTATTGTATATAGGAGAGAGAGATAATTGGTATTTTATGTCTATGCATTGTATATAGGAGAGAAAGCAGCAGACGATAGAGGAGATGGGACAGATGGAGGATGAGATGAGGAGAGCGGAGGATCTGATCAAGATGAGGAAAGAACACGCAGAGAGGAAGGCACTTGGTTCTAAAAGGTATAACAGGCTTGAAAAAAGTTTTTTTTATGATATTTAATATGTCATTGTTGAATAAGCATGCAAAAAACAAGCACAATATCATTTAATTTGAAAACATAGAACAAATTATAATACTATCATGTATCGCTATGTCAATGAACAAGACATACACACATTGTCTTATAAAATTTTCAGGGGACATCTGTGGCTGATACATTAAGGCTGCCACTGTTGGCTCGAATCTCGGGAAGGTACTTTGGATTGTTTCATGTGAGGAAGCTATCCAGCTAGCTTATATTACGTCAGTGGTTCTACTAAGGTGCCTATTCATGCCTGCATTAATGTACGGAAGGGCATCAGAGGTCTTCCTCCACTTCTAAAGCTGGAAAGTCACCATATGACTTGCACTGATTTGGTGCAACAAAACCCAACGCCAAAAAAATGAAATAAAATTGATTGGATTGAACTTTGAGAATTTCTAACCGCAAAATTTAATTTCTTTATCACCATTACCATCTTTCAATTTCATCTACAAATAACAGAAATTTATATGTTTTATCAATTAAGTTTTAAGAATGATATCCGATTGATATCATTCTTCATTCCGTTCTAAAAACGGTAACAATTTACATAATGTTATGATATAATGTGCTTTATATTTACAAGTAGAGATTTCATTCATCTTTTCAATAATTTTACTCCTTGTTTGTAATTTCCGTTCTGTTGGGTTACAGTTCACTCGATTTGTTTTCAATGCTGCAATTGGAGGGAAGCTTTGAATTGTGGAATTGTTTCGTGCAATGTTACGTCACATATATCCATACTTTTGATAAGATTTCATATTGACATTGGCATTTGACATCATTAAACTGTCAGACATGTTTAATCATTACAAATTATGTGTTATTTTTCTTTGTGAGATTAATGAACAGCATCCCCAGAAAGAAATACAAAAAGCGCTGTCAAATTATATAAACTGGACTAAAATTGACTTTGACTCATAATACACCTTGACCTTCTGTTATCATTATGATCAGGTGGTTCAGTTGTCATGTTCTGTTATCATTATGATAGTACAGTTATTATGTTCTGTTATCATTATGATAGTACAGTTATTATGTTCTGTTATCATTATGATTGTTCAGTTGTCATGTTCTGTTATCATTATGATTGTTCAGTTGTCATGTTCTGTTATCATTATGATTGTTCAGTTGTCATGTTCTGTTATCATTATGATTGTTCAGTTGTCATGTTCTGTTATCATTATGATTGTTCAGTTGTCATGTTCTGTTATCATTATGATAGTTCAGTTGTCATGTTCTGTTATCATTATGATAGTTCAGTTGTCATGTTCTGTTATCATTATGATAGTTCAGTTGTTCTGTAGTCATTATGATAGTTCAGTTACCATGTTCTGTTATCATTATGATAGTTCAGTTGTCATGTTCTGTTATCATTATGATAGTTCAGTTGTCATGTTCTGTTATCATTATGATAGTTCAGTTACCATGTTCTGTTATCATTATGATAGTTCAGTTACCATGTTCTGTTATCATTATGATAGTTCAGTTGTCTTGTTCTGTAATCTTATAATAGTTCAGTTGTTCTGTTCTGTTATCATTATGATAGTTTAGTTGTCATTTTCAGTTATCATTATTATAATAGTTTAGTTGTCATGATCTGTTATGAAATATATTTATTTTATGGATAATAAAAATTTATGGTTGCATACAGATAAAAATGTATGTGTAGTATGTAGGACTTCTATAAATAAAATTAATTTGGAAAAACTTTTTCCTACAAAGACATTTTAATCTGTGAATGCTGAAAAATAGGTCATAAACGGTGGTATTTCAAAAACAAAAATCATAATTTAGTACAAATATTGATCTGAAATAGAACTAAAATGTTGAAGGTTACCGACATGATTTCCATAATATTCATGGTCTTTATTTGAATATGTTTGAATCTGTGGTATCTGCCATTAAACGGATTGTATAGTCAGGTCATTATTTTAAGGTAATCAGATTAGCTTTTGGCTGGTAATACTTTATCAGTTGTTAATCTGTCAATCTTAGCCAAGCCTGGCGAGCTTGTTGACGTCAAAATTAAATTTTTTCGATCAATATATTTTCAGTTTCATTAGCTCACCTTGCACAAAGTGCAGGTGAGCTTTTAGGATGGCCAACCAAATGGCGTCCGTCGTCTGTCGTCCGTCCACATTTTAAATATTCTAAGGACATCTTCTATGATACCTCAAGGCCAATGTTAATGAAACTTGGCAGGAATACTCTTTGTATGAAGCTCTATCAAGTTTGTTCAAAGAATTCCATTTCATGCAGAACTCTGGTTGCCATGGCAACCGAAAGAAAAATCTTTAAATATCTTCTTTTAAAGAACCGTAAGAGCTAGAGCTTAGATATTTGGCATGAAACATCTTCTAATGAGTGTCTACCAAGTTTGTTCAAATAAAAGCCCTAGGGTCAAAATTGGCCCCGCCCCAGGGGGTCATTGATTTTCCCTATATGCATATAGTAAAAACTTAAAAATCTTCTTTTAAAGAACCCAAAGAGCTAGAGCTAAGATATTTGGCATGAAACATCTTCTAGTGAGTGGCTACCAAGTTTGTTCAAATAAAAGCCCTGGGGTCAAAATTGGCCCCGGCCCGGGGGGTCATTGATTTTCCCTATATGCATATAGTAAAAACTTAAAAAATCTGCTTTTAAAGAACTGTAAAAGCTAGAGCTTAGATATTTGGCATGAAACATCTTCTAGTGAATGTCTACCAAGTTTGTTCAAATAAAAGCCCTGGGGTCAAAATTGGTCCCGCCCCAGGGGGTCATTGATTTTCCCTATATGCATATAGTAAAAACTTAAAAAATCTTCTTTTAAAGAACCCAAAGAGCTAGAGCTAAGATATTTAGCATGAAACATCTTCTAATGAGTGTCTACCAAGTTTGTTCAAATAAAAGCCCTGAGGTCAAAATTGGCCCCGTCCCAGGGGGTCATAGATTTTCCCTATATGCATATAGTAAAAACTTAAAAAATCTTCTTTTAAAGAACCCAAAGAGCTAGAGCTAAGATATTTAGCATGAAACATCTTCTAGTGAGTGTCTACCAAGTTTGTTCAAATAAAAGCCCTGGGGTCAAAATTGGCCTGCCCCGGGGGGTCATTGATTTTCCCTATATGCATATAGTAAAAACTTAAAAAATCTTCTTTTAAAGAACCGTAAGAGCTAGAGCTTAGATATTTGGCATGAAACATCTTCTAGTGAATGTCTACCAAGTTTGTTCAAATAAAAGCCCTGGGGTCAAAATTGGCCCCGTCCCAGGGGGTCATAGATTTTCCCTATATGCATATAGTAAAAACTTAAAAAATCTTCTTTTAAAGAACCCAAAGAGCTAGAGCTAAGATATTTAGCATGAAACATCTTCTAATGAGTGTCTACCAAGTTTGTTCAAATAAAAGCCCTGGGGTCAAAATTGGCCCCGCCCCAGGGGGTCATTGATTTTCCCTATATGCATATAGTAAAAACTTAAAAAATCTTCTTTTAAAGAACTCAAAGAGCTAGAGCTAAGATATTTAGCATGAAACATGTTCTAATGGGTGTCTACCAAGTCTGTTCAAATAAAAGCCCTGGGGTCAAAACTGGCCCTGCCCCAGGGGGTCATTGATTTTCCTAGTATATGTGTATAGCAAAAACTTAAAAATCTTCTTTGAAAAAACCCAAATAGCTTGAGTTTAGATATTATACATGAAACATCTTTAAGTAAATATCTACAAAGTTTGTTCAAATAAAAGTCTGGGGGTCAAAACTGGCCCTGCCCAAGGGGTGTCATTGTTTTTAACTATATGTGTATAGTAAAAACTTAAAAATCTTCTTTTAAAAAACCCAATGAGCTAGAACTTAGATGTTTAGCATGAAACATCTTCTTATGGGTGTCTACCAAGTCTGTTCAAATAAAAGCCCTTGGGTAAAAATTGACCTGGGGGTGGGGGGGGGCTATATACAGGTGAGCGACCTCAGGGCCATCATGGCCCTCTTGTCTTATTTTTGTGTGGTAAAGGGTCACCGAGTTTGATAATGGGACATATGAGCCGCGTCACGACAAACCAACATAATGGCTTTGCGACCAGCATGGATCCAGACCAGCCTGCGCATCGGCGCAGTCTGATCAGGATCCATACTGTTCGCTTACCAACTCTATAAGAAGTAGAGAAACTGATAGGGAACAGCATGGATCCTGATCAGACTGCGCCGATTAAACATTAAACAGGTCGCTGAGTGCCCCAAGGCCCATAAAACTTTACAGGGATTTTAACAGAATTATTGCCCTTTTTGAACTTAAAAAAATGCTTCATTATTATTATAGTGGAGTGCACTGTCCTACCAACCGCTCTTTTTTATATGTACATGTATATATGAAGTTTTAATAACCTGTTCATGTGTATGAAAGTATTCTCACTATTTCATTACAGAGCGCAGATTGTAACCCCAGGGAGGAAAGAGCCTGGCACTCCAGCATCTACTCCAAGAAGAACACCGAAGTTTGGCATCTGATTTCATTCTTTAGTAGAAATACAATAGGAATTTGAAAAATGAGATGGCATTCATGAACAAACCTGGTTTTCAGATTATTGAAAAGGAAATGAAGGAATTTGAAATTCCATGAGAGGGAAATGAATGCTGATTTTGATATCTGTTAAAGGAAAGAGAATGAAGAATCTAAATACAGTTTGAAAATATTTTACAGGGTAGAGAATAACTTTTGTAAACTGAAGGCGAAGGAAGTGAATTATTATGAATTCATTATGATTTTCGAAAATGGCTAAAAGGAAGTCAACTATGAACTCATTATAACTTTAAGTATCTGTAAGGGAGGTGAATAATGATAAATTTTATGTAATTTTAAAATTTCCCTAAAAGGGAAGTGAAAAACAAATTGCTAATAACATTGAAATACCTGAAAAGGAAATTCTTAATAACATTGACAGGGAAGTGAATCACGATTTACTAAAAATAACATTGAAATATCTGAAAGGGAAGTGAAAAAAATGCACTGTACGAGTATATTGACATTCTGTCATTCAAAAAGTAGACATTACTGAATTACAGTAAAAGAATAGCATACAGGATGCTTTTAAAATGTACTATTAGAGAAAATTATATCATGGCTGGAATTTCTTGAAAAATAACTTGCATAATTAACTCTATATATTGTATGTGTATAATTATATAAATATAATTAATGCTATATATAGTGTATATATAAACAAAGGATTGTTTTTGTATGCAATGTTTTTATGATGTATATTGAGGTACATTTAGACTGCTGGTCAGTAACTATAAAATAGTTCATCAGTATTGCACATAGTGCATTTACAATATATGTAATTTTATTTGGGCTTGCACGGTTTGATCATTTATTGCGCTGAACAAAGTTTACGTTGTAAAGTCAAATATGTCATAATTATCAGCTCCATTTTTACTGGCAGACTGAGAGTAGTATAAAATAAAGTTAAATTTAAATGGGAATTAAATTCAGCTAAAAAAATTGTATTTTTTTTTAAAATGTCTTTCACAAAGATTATTTAGCACATACTTTGAGGTAAACAAACAAACAATTTAATATAATACATGTACATCTGTTTTTAAACAATCAAAAAAAGGTGGAAAAAAAATGAAATAAAAAAAAATACAGTGATAGATATGTTTAATGTTTTCCTTTTTTGCTCCATATAACATGTATAATAGTTTGATAAAAAAAAGGCCTCAGTTATACAGGTATTGTGAAGACAGGCTGGGGACAGGATTAAAGGGATGTGTGAATTAACTAAAAATATTAAACATATCTTAATAATTATATGGATGATGTTAAGATAACCCTGAATTTCTCCGAGAATGTCTTAGCATTTTTGCCATTAACATAGACATTTTTACTCAAGGGCCGTTGATAACGTAAAATAGTTGTAGAATCGGTTATAAGCAAATCAACAAGTGCACAGCATATGGTGTTAACACTAATGTCTGTAAAGGGCAACCAAATTTGAAAAATTCTAAATTTAAAAAGGGCATAATGTCATGCAAAAAAAACAAATGCCCCCCATACGGTTTCACAAGTATTGCAGAAAGGTATATTGAAAAGAAAAGAATAAAAGTAATCAATTGCTTAATATTGTTCTTGTAAAATGAAGTGCTATTCATAGCAAATTACAACCTTGACCTTGGAATTGGGGACATTGGTCTAAGATATGACATGTCATCTTGATGTTGTAGACATTTGTGTCAAGTTATTTTAAATTCATTCAATGCATGACAAAGTTACAGTCCGGACAAAAATGTGTACCTTCATCCTCATAATGTGACCTTCACCTTAAGGTCATAGTGATTATAATAGCTCAACTTTGCTTCGAAACAGAAGAAATACTATACTACATCGGTTTTCTTCATGTTAAAAAAAAATAGATTGAAAATTCTAGGTTAAAAAGAAAATGTTTCCTGTTATTCTACACAATATCGAATTCCAATTTTTAGGCCTCCACTTTAGCGGGGACATTTAGATTTGCCCTTGTCCGTCCATGTGCTGTGCTTTTCAAGTTGTTTCCCTAGTAGCTCTAGTTCTGAAACTTAACAGGTACCTGTGGATTAATTCAGTTTTGTCAGAGTTACTGGCCTGGACTAGGTGAAAATTTTCAATTTGTGTTGCACATAGCTCAAAATGTTTAGACCTAGAGTAATAAACTTATTTTTCAGAAATGTTGGTCAGCATTTGCAGTTTTTGCTTAGGATATGATTCAGTATTTGTAGAGTTGTTTCCCTTGACTAAGTAAAAAAAATTGCAATTTTCAACTTGTGACGTGAATTACAAATCAGGTGCTTTCCTTATTAAGCTAAGTGGGCAAATATAATGGCATAACTGAGCTCTAACATCCTATAAACTAGACTAACATGTGCTAAATATGATGTATGGACCTCCTAACTAATTCTTGGAAAGGCATCTGTGCATCTGTCACATTTTTATTGCTATCATCAAGGGTAATTTGTCCTATTTTTTCTTTCAACCAAAAGATAAGAAGGAAAATTACAGTATCAAGTGGGAAATTTATCCTACATTATATATTTTCATAGTGAATGTATGCCAAACAAATAAATTGGGGAAGGATAAAATTTGGCTCTGAATAATTGACAGAAAGCATAACAAATACTGTACTTCAATCAATAGTCAACATTTTAATGTGATATGAAAATAACCAACAGTTCACACTTTAGTGTATACATGTACATAAATCTCATAACAATAATACATGCAATGTAAAACTATAAATCACAGTTGTTTAGTTGGACAGATATCTTAACAGTAATAAATTTATTTAAACAGTTTAAAAAAACACACACATTTTCATAATACTTACAAATCAAGGAAAGACAAAATGTCCTTTAAAGGGACTCCACTTTAGGTCTTAAACCCTAAAAATATAAAATTTGCATAACTTACATAAAAGAACACTTAAAACAGAAAGATATGCAAAGATAATTAATAAATTTACTTAGAAATAAATTGAAAATCTTACTTTTGTGCTTTTCTGATAATTAGCCCGGTTGAGTGAAAAGTATTGCAACGCTTTTCAACTTTGGGTAATTTTTTTTCAACAATTAGAATAAGATATCTAATTAATCTGGAAAAATGGAGTGAGGGAATGATCTGAAATTTTGCACAGAGCTAAATGGTCTAGACCTACATCAAATGGAATGATGATCTTGAAAATTATTTCCAGTCTCGCGTCAAAAAAAACAAGAGCCCGGTTTGAGCCGGGTGATGCTCCCCGAATAGGTTTTGGACACAGGAAAGTACACCTCATGAAGTTTGAGAGTTATGTCCCTGGAAAAAGTTTAAAGTCCAAAATTAGGCAAGGCAGAGTTACTGTTCTTTGCACTACACTTCTAATCAATGCGATCTATCAACCTACAAAGTTTCTTGATGATATCTCTTATGATTTCCGAGTTATGTCCCGGATAACTTCAAAAAGTAAAAATAAAAATAGGGCAATTACTCCAGAATTAGGCAAGGCAGAGTTATGATTCTTGTGCACTGCACAATTCTACCCATTGAGTATATCTACCTACAAAGTTTCATGTTGATATCTTTTATAATTTTACAGCTATGTCCTGGACAAGATTTTTCTAAAAGGGGAGATTATTAAAAAATGAGGCTTAACAGAGTTATGGTTCTTTTTGCACTGCACCTCTACTCAATGAGGTCTATCTACCTACAATATTTCATCTAGATATCTCTTATAGTTTAAGAGTTATGTTCCGGACAAAGTTCAAAGTGTTAAAATTAACAAAGGGCAATAACTCCAAAATTAGGACAAAAAGAGTTATTGTTCTTATGCACTGCACATCTACCCATTGAGATCTATTCACCTACAAAGTTTCATGTTGATATCTCTTATAGTTTTAGAGTTATGCCCCGGACAAGATTTTTCTATAAGGGGAGATAATTCAAAAATGAGGCTTAACAGTCAGTTATGGTTCTTTTGCACTGCACCTCTACTCAATGAGATCTATCTACATACAATGTTTCATCTTGATATCTCTTATAGTTTTAGAGTTATGTTCAGGACAAAGTTCAAAGTGTTGAAATTAACAAAGGGCAATAACTCCAAAATTAGGACAAAAAGAGTTATTGTTCTTATGCACTGCACATCTACCCATTGAGATCTATTCACCTACAAAGTTTCATGTTGATATCTCTTATAATTTTAGAGTTATGCCCCGGACAAGATTTTTCTATAAGGGGAGATAATTCAAAAACCGGGCAAAATAGAGTTATGTTTCTTTGACACTGCACTCCCCCTCAATGCCCTCTACCAGTGTATGAAGTTTCAACAAATTATCTCCATGGGTTTTCAAGTTATGCTCCGGACAAGACAACGGACGGACAGACGGACGGACAGACGGACAAGGCGCCGACTATATGCTCCCCCCGAAATTTTTCGGGGAGCATAAAAACCTCAGTGAAGCCCCTTTAAGCTATACAACATCTCAACATTAACAGTTAAATTTTCAAGCTTTCAAAACAATGTTTACTTGTATATATACATGTACTTTAACTTGCAATCTTTTCACACACTAGTAACTTATCAGTCAAAATTAAAAATAGATTATTTTTCAGTCAACATAAATATCATCTCCCAGTGTATTTTTGGGAGCTATTCCAGGACCACATATTATATCATTATTGAAAAGGGGTTGAAAATATATAAATAAAGATTAACATGTATAATACATATAGTAAAGTATAACCTCTACAGAGATTCCACCCTTTGGGAAACAAATAATTTGATTGTTGCTCTAAAGAGGTAAAATGTAGCGGAAATCTTTACTTTGTCAAGAAATAATGTTGCTGTTATAAAGAGGTGATTGCTATACAGAGGGTGGCTCTGCAGAAGCTATACTTTATAAATTTTACAAGTCATAATTTAGAACCATTCAGGTTTTGTAAAGCAACATGAGCAACACACTATCAGTATGGTTTTAGGGAAAATTCTTAAATTACTATCTCTTCTGCAATAAATGTATTGATGCATATTCCAGCAGATTTTAAGGAAGACCAGTAAGGTGTCTTTCACATGCAGGTTGACCATTTTGCCAATATCAAAATTCACTCCCAACAAACGCTATCAAGGTCAAGGACACATTTCTCACAGACCGATATCACAATAGGATCTGTGCCTCTATAACAGTAAGTTTTTCTATTTCAAACACATGATTTCCTTCCATCAGGACACTGCAGTTTTCTTTAAAGCCTGGGCCGCTGTGTAAATCTCTCGTAATTGTTTCTTTCTTTCACAATGACAACCTAGTCATATACAAAATTTATAATACATGTATAAAAAAAATGATTTGACCCTTAACCTGCTCGCAGCAACATATTCTACCTATGTGATTGGTGCTGATCTTTTTCCATAATGATTTTAAAGCTGCATGCCTCCAGATTAGCCAAAATATTTCAAGAAAATCAAACTTGAGAAAAATGTACTATGATTATAAGAAAAATAATTATGATTCTTGATTTAATTAATCATTTTCATATATGTGATTAAACACTGATTTAGGAGTATTCATCATCACATTTCTACTGCATGGTTAAGCCAGTTAAAGGGCAATTATTGCATAAAAATATTTTGACCTATTTTAGGTAATTTACGTGGTTTGTTTGCAATCTGTAAATTACTGTCTTTGTTCACCAAACAATGTTTTATTTCTAAATACATTTTTCAAAATTTTGTCAATATGCACATATTTTGGAGGTATGCTGCTTTAAGACTAAGTGCCAAATATACAATAACTTTATTCTCAAATGCTTTTGGTGTTCTGTTAGCTAACAAAGGGGTTCACATTGACCACATCATAATCTGAGTAATCTAACCATAAGAAAAGTTAAAAATGATTTTGACAACGGACACCGAAATAATTTTTATTACTTTATGTTTAGCTACTTCTATGATAAATTATTTCACATTCAGTACTGCTTCCATCACATTATAATCATCTACAACACAGGTTTGTCTTTTCTTAGAAGTTAAAATTTATCAATTTAAAGATTAATGAGTCTTTAACTGACTTTAAATGATAGGTATTTAATCTACCATACAAAATAGAACATTGGCAAATTGTATCAAGACAGCATTCAAATCGGATCAATTATTGGATAAGATATAAAAATACATTCCAAGAAAAACAAGAGCTGTCAGTAGGACAGCATGCTCGACTATTCTAAGTGCTTGATAGTAAAAGAGCCTTGATAATGTTAAATTTTTTAAGTTCACAAAAGGGCTCATTTTTTTTTATAAATTCACGTTATAGGCCTTAGAAAGAGTCTTATTATACAGTATTGGCTTGACTATTCGGAGGGTAATGTCACAAGGGTGTATAATAATACTAATTACCTATGAATACATAAATTTGACAGAAAAGGTACAAAGGCTTGTTATTAAGATGTTTTATCAAGTAAATCACTGCTTAATAATTATGAATGCATAAAATTGTCCCAAAAAAGGCACAAACCCTTCAGTAGTTATTGAGATAACTGCTTACAAGCAAAACTTTACCATGAATTTCTAAGTTGAAAAAGGGGAGAAAAATCAGCCTAAATGCAAGATAGAATTATGGGTCTTTGTCAGTGACCTACAATTATGACCCTAAATGCATATGTGAAGTTTTAAATTAATATCTTTAATAGTTATTGAGATATATAAAACTTGCATGTAAACATTAACCAAGAGACTAAGTAGAAAAGGGGATATGAATCAGCCTTAATGCAATACAGTTATTGAACTTGGTCAGTGACATACAATTATGACCCTCCAATTATGACTCTAAGTGCATGGGTTAAGTTTCAAGTAAATATCTTTGAAGACCTTTAACCTTTAACCAAAATTTCTAAGTTTCAAAGGGGCAAATAATTCTGCAAATATTGCAGGCAGAGTTATGCAATTTTGCAAACTGATGTACATTGTTACTATAAAAAAGTATTTTAAATTTCAATTGAATATCTCAAGCAATAATTGAGATATTTGACTTTACAAAAAAAACTTTAACCAAAATTTCTAAGTTCCAAAGGGGCATAATTCTGTCAATATTGTTGGCAGAGTTATCCAACTTGTCAATCTGATGAAACTTTTTACTATAAATAAGTATTGTAAGTTTCAATTGAATATCTCAAGCAATAATTGAGATATTTGACATTACAAAAAACTTTAACCAAAATTTCTAAGTTAAAAAGGGGCATAATTCTGTCAATATTGAAGGCAGAGTTATCCAACTTGTCAATCTGATGTACCTTATTACTATAAATAAGTATTGTAAGTTTCAATTGAATATCTCAAGCAATAATTGAGATATTTGACTTTACAAAAAACTTTAACCAAAATTTCTAAGTTAAAAAGGGGCATAATTCTGTCAATATTGTAGGCAGAGTTATCCAACTTGTCAATCTGATGTACCTTGTTACTATAAATAAGTATTGTAAGTTTCAATTGAATATCTCAAGTAATAATTGAGACATTTGACTTTACAAAAAACTTTAACCAACGCAGACGCCGACGCGGACGCTGACGCCGACGCCGACGCCGGGGCAACTACAATAGCTCTCATATTCTTCGAATAGTCGAGCTAAAAATGCCCTCATTTTCATGAGCATCAAACTATGGTTGAACATCTGGCCAAAGGGAGAGAATTCTGACAAAACCTAAACACTTTTAAATATATCATGAGAGAAATTTAACGTAAAATGAAAATGAGATCTTAATGTCAAGTTAAGAAATAGAAGAATACCTAGGAAAGAATTAGCAGTTGTTGAGGTACCATTCACCGAACATTCCATACTACCATCATCTGCCAGCACCGGACCATCATCCCAGATTAAATCAAATCCTCCCACTCTTTTCTCTTTACCAGTCAACCTGTGAAAAATAATATCTGAACTTGTCTTAATGTGTTCCCTCTCATAGCTCTTCTTAAAGCTCTACTTTATTCATCCAACTTCTTTTATCTCAAATTTCTCTACTGGGAAAGCGTATGAATATAGTATAGATTATTCAATTATTTTAATGATCAACTTTATATAACATGTTTTGTTGAATTACATATTGTCTTCAAACCAACTGCCCCTCACTGCTATGGATTTGAATCCCAGTAGGGACTTCAGATTCCTTCATGTGAGGAAGTTATCCAGCTAGCTTACATTGGTGGTTCTAGTCAGGTGCTTGTTAGTGCCTGTAATAATGCACAGATTAGATTAGGGCACCCTTAGGTTCCCCTCCACTGGTAAAACAAACTCTGCTTGAATCCTTACTCTGCAGCCAGTGACAAAATATATTGTCATCTTAGTACATTAACGGGTTTAGTCTTTTTTTGACTCAATAGGAGTTAACTAGTTATTGCACTTAGGTGACGATATATACCCATATGACCAGTGCAGACAAAGATCAGCTGGCACTTCCATGCAGTCTGATAAAAATCTGCACTGTTTGATACTCAGTCAGTTCTTAGTTTAAAATTCCCCCAAAAATGGTCAATGGCTTTGTCCAGATGAACAAGTCCATTTAAGAACCGGGACATATTTCTTAGTTTTCCCTAAAATTGATCAATGGTTTTGTCCACTTTGAAAGATGGACAAGTCCATTTAAGATATTTGGAATAGAAAAGGATTAAGAGAATATAGTTTAAACTTTATAGAAATGATAGTTTAAACTAATGAGCCTAAGTTCAAAAGAAAGTATTACATCTGTGTGCAAAGAGGTAAAATTTTAGATGTAAAGAAACCTGGTTATGAATTAACAGTTCATAGATGGCAAAGTTACAAAAGGTTTCTTAACTATGATAATTAATATGATGGCTACGTAATCTTTAATATTAAAAGCTAGATTTAATTAAAATTTTAAGAATTTGAATTAAATAATTATTTTATATTTCTTTACCTTTGAAAGATGATCAAACAATATTGAAAGTTCATTAAAAACATTTTGTAAATAGTGCCTTTGATGTTTTAAATATAGAATTTAACAGTCTACCTATTTTCAAGGTCAAGTACATTGAGGACATCATTTAGCACTCCATATTTGAGGTCGTAATCATCTTTCCCGCTAGCAGTCAAAGAGGGTGATGCGTTTATCTCTATTAACCAACTGAAAATGACAAGACAAATAAAATCATTTATACACCGCTTGATTTGTGCAAGACTTAATAATGTCTTGCTTTGAAATTTAGAACCAACATCATTAACTGGGGGCATTTTCATATCAAAATGATAAAATTTAGTGATCAATATGGTAAGCCATTAAGTAAAGTCAATATAACACCAAAACTTAACCATTAAATTTAATCTGCTGAAATTGTGTAAAGCACTTGACCAGCATTGAATTTGGGGCAGTATTATAAGCTTGGAAGGGAGAGCATCTGAATTGTAATCCTGGGGTCACTGATTTGATCCTCGGATTAGGCGAAATTTCTCTATGATAATGGATCTCGGACATTACGAGAGTGCAATAGTCATTTGTCTCTAAATGCTGGTTCAGAAATTATGTGAGATTAGTAATCAATCATTTGAGCCGTGTCATGACAAAACCAACATAATGGGTTTGCGACCAGCATGGATCCAGACCAGCCTGCGCATCCCCGCAGTCTGATCAGGATCCATGCTGTTCGCTTACAGACCCTATAACGAAAGAAAAAAACTGATAGCGAACAGCATGGATCCTGGATCCATGCTGGTCGCAAACCCATTATGTTGGTTTTGTCCTGACGCGGCTCATTTGTGGAAAATTGGTCAAACCTGGGTAGCTATCTAGACTAGCGGGTTATGTGGAGCGACCGCAAAATTATGAATATCAAACAAATGTTTTAAGATGGATGTAACAATTTCAAATTTCAAGGGATTTCCATACGAAAATAAACATGTAATTGTGCTACCAACAGCATTTAGCATGTTCAGAACAAACTAGAACTATCGCTGAATGCGATTCATACCCCCACCAATGTCCTTGACAGAAGACAACTTGGAAAGGTGGTTAAGGGAATAACTTAAGTGACACAAATACATAAAAAGAAATTATCTCTGGTGAAAAAAAAAACTAAATGTACAGGTAATAGTAAAAATATCTATTATCAAATCATGTTCGAAACAGTTACAAATAACCTTTCATTTTCCCAATATACTAAACTTTTTATAAGTCAATTTTTGACCTTCAAGTGTGGCCTTGACCTTCAGCTGGCACAAGGGTAAGATGGGTTCTGCACATCGCCCAATTGGAGTGAACATTTGAGTAAAGTTTGAAGAAAATCCTTCCATTAGTATAGAATTTATAGAGCGGACACAACATATTGTCTAGTATTGATTGTATGTAAATTTAAAGACTTAAAAAGGGGCATAACTTTGTCAAAATCCAATACAGAGTTATAAAAAACTTGACCGGCATATTGTAATTGTGACACCTCATATATCTTTTAAGTTTCAAGCAAATACCTATGCTAGTTTCCGAAATATTCAAGAACATGTTTTAATCTAAGAACATTTTCTAAGTCAATTTTTGACCTTCAAGTCTGACCTTGACTTTAGTCTGCACAAAGGTGACATAGATTCTGCACATAACCTTGTTTAGGTGAACATTTGAGAAAAGTTTGAAGAAAATTCTTCCATTAGTATAGGATTTATAGAGCTGACACAACATATTGTCAAATATGTGATTGTATGTAAATTTGAAGATTAAAAAGGGGCATAACTTTGTTAAAATGCAATACAGAGTTATGAAACTTGACCAGCATATCTTAATTGTGACACTTCATTTATATTTTAAGTTTCAAGCAAATACCTTTCCTAGATTCAGAAATATTCAGATATATGTTAAAATTAAAGAACATTTTCTAAGTCAATTTTTGACCTTCAAGTGTGACCTTGACCTGAAGCCGGCAAAAGAGTGACATGGGTTCTGCACATAACCTTGTTGAGGTGAACATTTGAGCCAAGTTTGAAGAAAATCTTTCCATAAGTGTAGGACTTACAGAGCGGACACGACATACTGTGTAATATTTAATTGTTTGATATTTGACCTTCAACTGTGACTTTGACCTTGAGCTGACACATGAGCAACATGGGTTCTGCACATCCCATTGTTGAAATGAACATTTTAGCCAAGTTTGAAGAAAATCTTTCAATTATTGTAGGACCTACAGAGCGGACACGACATACTGTCTAATATATGATTGTGTTTGATATTTGACCTTCAATTGTGACCTTGACCTTGAGCTGACACATGGGCAACATGGGTTCTGCACATCCCCTTGCTGAGGTGAACATTTTAGCCAAGTTTGAAGAAAATCTTTCAATTATTGTAGGACCTACAGAGCGGACACGACATACTGTCTAATATATGATTGTGTTTGATATTTGACCTTCAATTGTGACCTTGACCTTGAGCTGACACATGGGCAACATGGGTTCTGCACATCCCCTTGCTGAGGTGAACATTTGAGCCAAGTTTGAAGAAAATCCTTCAAGTGGTATAGGAGTTATAGAGCAGACACGAAAATGGAGACGGACGGACCGACCGACCGACCGACTGACCGACCGACGCGACAAAGCGAATCCATTATAGCCCCCCCCCCACATTTTGTGGTGGGGGTATAACAAATAAACAAATGTGTTAAAATAATACATGTATGCATAACATCTACAAGTTCGAGGGATTTCAATATGAAAATAAATAATTGAGCTGCCAACAGTATAGAGCCTGTTCAGACCAAATGTGTTAAGTTAACATGGTTGTAACAACTACAAAGTTCAAGGGACTTCAATACGAAAATAAACAAATGAGGCTACCAACAATCACTATATAGCATGTTCAGACTGCATGCACAGATGTGTGGGCTAAGACCTGGCTCTATAATGGTGGCAAGGGAGGTCATTCCAGCAGGATTAAGGACTAATAATTCTATAAACCATCACGAGTTTCTGACATGTTGATTACATATTATCCTAATCAATCCTATTTTGATAATACTGTAATTAAAAAATTATCATGCTCGAATCTAATAATAGAATATAGGTACATTTCCAACAAACAAAAACAGAATTTAAGTCACTGATATTATTCAATGATGTTATAATTTGGGATTAAAAAAGTAAGTAATAGTCCATCTTTTAGAAAATAATTACATGTAATATGTAACTGTATATATGGGGATTGTCCAAATATTATACGTATACTTTTCGTGTTATGAACTTATTTTTTCTGTGAACATACACAGAAATGTGCTAGTTTATTGTAACCAAAATAATTCTGTGGTATCTGGGAATGTTTCTCCATGACAACACAGTACATGTAAAAACTGGCAAGAATGAGTTTTTGAATGTCATTGCTTAACCTATTAACTGTATCTAAGCAAAATGTGAGAAAAATACAAATGGCAAAATATGATGTCATTTGGAAGGCTTTAATTCAAATAAGTCAAAGACTTAATAGTTTTTTGTTGTTTTTTTTCATCTTGACATCGCTTGAAAAAAAAAAGCAGTTTGGGGGGGGGGGCACTTTCAACAAAAATTACCAGACCAGGGTAAAAAGCCTTTACACTAATGATTGAAAATATATATACATGTACCACATGATAATGTGCAATACTTTATCATCACTGCTTATGTTTCATAAGGTGGCATATACATCTTATGGAAGGAAGAAATACATTTGAAGGCAATTCCTGGCATAGAAGGAACTGCACTGCTGATGAGACAGTCTTTGATAACAGCATTTCTGTTCAGTTGAAGATTTAAGTAAAGTAACATATAATTTTGCTTATTGAATGAATTCATTATTTTTTATTATTATTCATTGATTTACAATGTTTTACATACTTATTCATAACTTTTCTATGTATATTTTTACAAAAAAAAATGATTGTATGTCATGATACAGAAATGTGCACTATACAAACTGTTGTATAGTATTAGAACATTCTGGTTATTTATTATTCCTCATGACTTCAACCGTACGCAGCTGAATCAATGCAACTGCTTTTCCCTGCTTTTGATGACAAGGTAACCATTGTTAGTTGGAGGGATTTTATCGTCAAAATTATAAAATTAGGCAGCAATCAATAGAATTGTCTCTTATTCCACTGTACTGGTGAACAGACTGGGTCACATCAGCTCTACAATAGTGGCATAGAAAAATCAAGAAATCGTTATCAATGTCATAGTTCAATAGGTGTTATCATATTCATACTTACGGTTTGAGGTTTGCATCTAGAAGCACATCATAGCCGTACATTTCAAAACAATGTTTATCATTTATGATGATTTTCTGAACACTTTGTAAGCTTTTAATAATGATATTGTCTATTCCTTGAAACACTTTCCTTGCCTGTAAATATATGAAGGTTTTTAAATGAGTGTAGGTTCAATAATAAATTAATTGAACGAGTTGAATGAAATGATAATATGTGAGCCTCTGATCGGGTTCAATAAATTAACTAAATTAGTATTGAACCTACATGAATATAATATTTGAGCCGCGTCAGAACAAAACCAACATAATGGGTTTGCGACCAGCCTGCGGATGATCAGGATCCATGCTGTTCGCTATCAGTTTCTGTACTTGTAATAGGGTTTGTAAGCGAACAGCATGGATCCTGATCAGACTGCGCGGATGCGCTGGATCCATGCTGGTCGCAAACGCATTATGTTGGTTTTGTTGTGACGCGGCTCATTTAATTTATCACATTCATAAAATAAAGACTATAAGAAGAGCAAAAGAATAATTTTTCAATGACAAACTTACAGTGTAACGCTAACATTTAGTATTATGTAATTATGTAACTTTCAATAAATGTGAAGATAGATCTTACATGCAAAACCTTTACCAAGATTTTTATAAAGATCACAAAATGTTTAAGATGTCAGTGTGTTAGTTTATAGCATAAAGACACAACTCCTTTAAATGGATAACTGTGTGATTCTGGAAACATGAAGTTTCATGTGTATTATACAGAATCCTAACCAACAAGATCAATAAAGTAACAATTTTGACCAAATTCTTACAAGCTTTGAATAAATGGAATACTTTTAGACGATTAAGACTGAAATTTAAATTGTTCATATAGATACATATAGTTCCCGATGTTTACAATATTTACCTCCCTTGCCAAAAGTGGCAGCAATTTCAGGGGTCAATATTCTATATAATATAATTGAACAAATATGAAGAAAAAAATGAGCCGTGTCATGACAAAACCAACATAATGGGTTTGCGACCATCAGGATCCATGCTGTTTGCCATCAGTTTCACTACTTGTAATAGAGTTTTTAAGCGAATAGCATGGATCCTGATCAGACTGCGCGGATGCGCAGGCTGGTCTGGATCCATGCTGGTCGCAAAACCATTATGTTGGTTTTGTCGTGACGCGGCTCATAAATATAAACAGCTGATTTATCTCACAAGTTCTTTTATACATATGCAGCAAAATATTATTAGAGCACCAATATGTGATGTGTTTTCATGAAGATGATAGAATTATGAGATTCTTATCTTAAGCACATGACATATTTGGATGAAATCGGAAATGGCTGCAAGGGGAGGTAATAATTTCTATGTGAAAAGCATCTATAGCTAGAGTATAACTTACAGCATCGGCACTATGTTTAGCCGTGAGATACTGTCGTAACTGTTGTGTAGCCCATTTACATCCTTTGTCAGGGTCGTAGTCCGGGGCCGTTTTCTGTACAGCAACATTTGTTAAATGAACATCTATCTAACGTTAAGGAAATCAACCAGTAAACAATATCAAAGTAATTAACTTTGTTCTTTTCCACAGGTTTTTTTTATGCTAAATTAGTAATTTAATGTGTTGAATTATAGCAAAACATGTCTTATACTTTTTATATTTTGTAACAACAATGTAGGCTTAAAATAGTTTTTAAGTAACCAAATATTACAGTGAAGCATAATTACATGAATACAAAATAGAATTACATGTATCAAATATCATCCACAGCCAGTAATGATGTCAACATCTCAACAAATTACTCAAAAAGACACGCAAAAGACATGCAAAACTAGTTTTGTGATGACATCCTATGCTCATTAATATATCTTATTTCAACACATTAATTACGAAGTTTCAACCATTTTACATTGAAAAACAACCAGCTTTGAGCATCCTTAATTTCTATCTTGTGAACAAATAACTTGTAATACTCTACAGACTGGTTGCTACATGATGTGGTTTTATAATGACTTTCATTTCATAACTAAAATGTACTAATCTGTGTGAACCAGTCTTGCAAGATTCTATTTTATACTTCAGGTTTTATTTGGAACTCCTCTCAGGTCAAAAAGTCTAAAAACTTCTTATATAGATCAACTTAAACACTTAAAATAGAAAACATCTGCAGAAGTTTAAAGATAATAACAACATATTCATAATTAAATTAAATGTCAAACTTTTGGTGTGATTTTGGCCGATATGAATTTCAGGGTTGCAATACTTTTCATTTTTGGCATATTTAGTACAATGAAATGATTATTTTTTTGAAATTTTGGAGTGATGTAGATCTATTGAACTGAAAATTTGCTCATAAGTTATTGTATCAGACTTAAAATTTGTTCATAAGTTATTGTATCAGACTTATACCAAATGGTACATAGAAAGATTGGATCAAAAACCAACACAAAATTAAGTATCAAAACATGTTTCGCTTTATTCAGCTTCCTCAGTTGATACATAAAGGAAAATGAAATGTACCAAATGGTACACAAATCTAAGGAAAACATTTCAAGTCCTGTCATATCAGAAAACCTCAGTGGAGTCCCTTTAAACAAAAAGGCATTAAATTTTCTTTTTATAAAATACATCACAAAAAAACTATGAAGTTATTTAAAGTAAATAAAATTTGAAAAATGTGATGAAAAAAAGAAAAAACAACAACATTATATTGTGAACTCCTAAATAAATGTCAATTAACACCTTTATTATACCTCAGCTTTTTGGCTGGTCCAATAACCCAAGCCTTGGTAACAAACATTCCAGAAAAAAAGTTGGAATCTTCACACCATGTAATTGACAGGTGTCACTATAGGTGGCCATAAAATAACACATTTTCCTTTAAATATCAAAATTTTCCACTACTGTTTATCATATTTTGGAGATTAACAAACTTGAACAACTGTTGATGCAGAATAATTTAATCTTACAACAATATGGTGCCTTCTCTGTAATTTCAGGTAAATATAAATATATTTAATTATTATCATTATATTCTATAATTGGTCATAAAAATTATGCCTTCTTTGCAGTTACTTTAGAGAAAAAATAACATTGGTTATTTACAACTTTTAATTTGATGATAAACAAAGTATTTTAAAGATTTTTGTCACATGTTTATTTAAATTATTTATTTTTTATCAGAGTCAAGCAATTATCAAAAGGTGACAATATCACTAATTATCAAATATAATTGGGCAAGTAACAGTAACAATTATCACATTTTCCTTTAAACTGTAATTATAACAATATCTTTCTTTTTTTATTTTCAGACTGTGAATATCTGTTGAAAATCATCAAGATAATCTCTTCAAAGAAATCTTATCAGGCCCAGATCAGTTTATTAAGGGAGATAATTTGTTACCATCTGTAGTGATCCAAAAAACTGATTACCACAATTAACCGAACAATCAGTTATAATAATCAAACAGACTTCAGTGATAAAAATCAATCAAGCAGACCGTTAAATTACTCAGGAAGAACCAGTTGGTATCGCTATAAAACAACCTTTTTTTGAGCATATTGTCACAATGAGGGATATGAAATCCGTGATCACATACATTTTTCAGAAGAAATTTGGTGGAAATAAATCAAACATGAAGTACGAAAAGTTTAGTGAAAACGCTGAATCTGAAATGAACGTGGACACTTCCAATGTAAATGAATTCTTCAGAGAGGAGTTTTTGAATTGTGACCTGATACCATTGTCTAGTAGTGAATCATCAGGATCTTGTGAGAGTTTGAATGGATTGGATTTAGAAATTTCTGACAAGGGAGTTAACTCCTGCAGTGTTGAAAGTATCAATACAGACAACCATGAGGAAAAAGACAATAGATCTGACACAGAAAAGGAGGGTGAAGTACCAGTTAAATTAGTTGTAACATACCATTTCTCTTTTGAAACAGATGAAAATGAAGACATAACGAAACACCTTGTGGAAGAATGTGTCACACCTAATCTTGTTGATGAACAAAAAGATGAATTGAGCAAAAATGTTGATGATGATAATGAAGTGTTTGAAGATTGTTCATTTTACAGTGATGATGAGGAAGATCGACTGGAATATAGCAGTGTAAAGAATGGAAGCAAGAACAACCTCCTAGATGATAGCTATGGTCCAGAACTTTGCTACAGTGTTAAAAATGTTTGTCTTGTTGATTACAATTCTGATCATGCTTCGGACAACTCAGCAGATGATTCTACCCCAGAAATCGAGGGTGTTAAATCTGATGAATCTAAAGAAAACATACAAAACTTACAAGAGAATAGACCCCAATCGATGAGGAAGAACTTTATTTATTATTCAAGTGCTGTAAAGTTGTATGCTGGTGAGTTAAGATATGAGGACAATTTCCCAGAGAAGAAATTCAAGTTTGCGAGGAAAATTTTCAAGAAAGTGTTTCCATCACAGAAATATGTAGTAAATAATTAAATGACTTGCAGCAATTATTGTGCTTCAAAAGGACATTGTGATATAAGACTGATAAATTTATGACTTTATATACCATATACATGTATGTTAACTGAAATTTGATGAAAATGTAATGATAATATAGAACTAACATGTATAACATAAATGTATAAATGTAAATAAAAAATATTTCGACCAGGAACTTTCTTTACTTTTATCTATATGAACAAATAGATCAACTAAATATGTGAAAAAAAATATTATAAAAGTATAAAATGTCCATTTCATTACTGTAAAATTTATTAATGACTAGATCCTGATTTTTAAACAATAAATTACATCCCTTGAAGATAAGCAGGGTTTTTAAAATTAACAATATAATTGTCACCATATATACAATTTATTATATAAACAGATGATTAAGATAATTTTGCCACATCCTTTTTACAAAAAAACAAGGCAATCTGAAGGACAAATAAATCCCCATTGCAGTGAACATGAATGTGTACTTCTTGACCTTTTACCAGCCATGACCTTGATGTTATGCCATGCATATCATAAGTGCATAGTCTCATGATCATGATTATTTGTGCCATGTTATTTAAAATCTTAAAACTTATTATCACACTAGTATAAGAAAGGTCTTATAACAGCTTACATAAAGGAAATTGATATCTTTTTATAATTTTACAAGGGGAGGTAATAAATGTTATTAAGGTCATCTATACCCCATGATACAAGCTGATTATCCTATGTTCCATCTGACCAATTAATGTTGACTACTCTATTCAAATTTTAGCCACTGTTTTAATAATTGGTGGTGGTGTTCCTGGGCAGACTGTCGAGCACTTCACCAGTACTAGTTGCCTTTACTTTCGCAAGGAACTGATAACTTCTGTACATACCAGAGCAGAGGTACATTTGAAGGGATTTCATGATCAATCACAAAGTAGTGACCTGGAATCAAACCCTAGATCGTCCATTCACAGTTCAATGCTCTACCTTCTCAGCTTACCAGACAGTACTGTTTTAATGATGGACAGTCCTGGTACTTATTAACAATCCACAATCCCATCCCTAATTAACAGGCAGGACAATTTATAAGAGTAATTTTATGAAAGGATACAAGCATCTTCAATAGAGTCTAAAGAGAACCTGGAGTTAGAAAATCTAGCAAATCCTGATCTGTAGAGCCATACTTTTAATGGATTGTACTGAAAAGAAAAAAAAGTTATATCAAATATATTTGTGACTTCATGCGATATAATTAAAAAAGATTTTGTAAGCATCAAATGTAAATAGCTGAATGAAAGGTGCATGATTATAAAATCTGTGACCTTCGATCTCCATATCATCTCTATATAGCCATTGAAATTTTATCATTTAAACAATAAGCCTTACTGCAAAATAATTGTTTCTGGATAATGCCCCTTGCCTTATAAATTGTAACAATAAGCAAGTACTCCAAATAAGTTAACTCCAAATAACAAATTAGTTAAAAAGTGTTTAAGAAATTGACTATAAAAAAGTTTTTGCAAAACAGCTACCTACCAATATTTATAATCATAATATATAGAGGATATTCAAGTTTTGTCTATAAATACATGATTTATTTTCATTGAGTGGTATGAAAATAAATATTTCATGAGTGGCGGTAGCCACGATTGAAATGTGGTAATTTTCATGCCACAAGATGATAATAAAACATGAATTTATATAAAAAACTCGAATTTTCTGTTTCTAAAACATAAAAGCCCAAATTTTTCTTCAAAAAAAGACAAGGTAAAATTAAATCAGTACTCACTGAGACTACAAGGACATAGACTCGGATATCAAACTTTCGGCCACCAATTAGATACGGGTCCTCTATATACCTCTGTACAACATATGTTTCTGGAACTTCTCTGTTAGGGTCAGTCAGGGGCTGATACTCTCCCTGATATATAAACAAAAAATACAGTAAAGTTCATAAACAGTAATCAGGGGCGTAACTGAGGTATTTTGATATGTACTCCATAAATAGGGGGGTTCGGGGGCATGCTCCCCCGAGAAAATTTTTGAAAAAAAGGAAGTGATTTCCTGGCATTTCGTGACTATCTAGGAGCTATACTGAAAACATATTGGTGATGATTTCAAACTCTTTTATTAATTTTAAAATATGTAAAATGAACAAGTACTTTACATATATACCATACAACTTTTTTTATATTGATTTTCAGCAAAAAAATGTTATTTTGCGATCTTCAAACTGATTTTATAGTAACAAATCTCCCGTATTCAGTAAATTTTAAATAAAAAAACCCACAAACAAACACTAGACGTCTGTTTCGTTGGTATGCAAACTTGTATACTCAGCATTTACTAACATTTATGAAGACGTCATTCTGTTCCTGAATTCATAGGTACCAAATGTAACAATATAGTTATTTAAGAATGATAATAATGTGAAAATTGTGACTATGTTCAGTGAGTGCTTTGGTCTGTTAAATATTTCTGATTAATTACAATATAGCAAAAATACCGTGAAGATATTTTAAAATCTCCTTTCAGAAATTAATTAAAAATCGTTGTGTATAACATAGATAATGTGAGTTAAATATAGAACTCACATGAATAAATTAAAGGATCCATTTAAGATCTTTTGTGATAAAATAAATTCACTAGCAGATTATACGACTTTATTTCATGCTTTCCAGTGTTTTATTGTAATATATCAGATGATTATATTCTGATAAACCACTAGTGAAATTTATAAAATATAATTTTCACTGTAGCCGAACTATATCTAAATGCGTATGAAAAGAAAATCATAACTAAGTGGAATAACGGGCAGAAATAAACGCCTTCATTCGTAAATTTTGCTTCTTTAGGAAAAGAAAGTCGATCTCACCATACATCATGTTAAAAACGTAACAAAGTTAGAGGAATTTAACAGAACTATATTTCAAAATGGATGATGTGACGTCATGATGTGATGACGTCAAAAAAGGAGGACGCCCGACGTTACGCGGCAAAATCAGTAAAAAATACTTAAAATCACTTAAAAAGCATGAAATAAAAAGAAAATTTATTTTTTTTACATATATGATTGAAATATAATTCATTCGTGAACACCAGCTATTATATTTTCACTCGTGGCTACGCCACTCGTGAAAATATTGCATCTGGTGTTCACTCAGTGAAATTATATTTCAATCTTACATGCAAAACAAATAAATATCCTCTATTTAATAATGATGTTACTGCGCATGAAACTTGCTTGATGACTCATCGCAATGTTTTTTGTTCACCTTAAAGAATAATGATCCCAACAACTTGTTTAAGAATCTGGCGATTCTTTTAAATAAATGCATAAAATTGAGATGGAATAGTACACTCTTTGTCTTTTTCTGCCTTTTCGGCACGGCCAAGTAATTCTAATCAATTGACTGATATGCCAATGAGAAGTTACACCAATTTGTTACTAGTACTTGTTTTTCTGATTAAAAGATGAAAACAAAAATCAAACATACAAGGCGACGTTGGCAGAACGCAGTCCCCTATACAATCCAGCAACGCTAGCAGGGCACCCAGAAGGCATCCAACCAAAAACCAGAAAAGGGCACAAAAGGGCCGATACGGGAAATAAAGAGTAAAACGTAAATTTTGCTTCTTTAGGAAAAGAAAGTCGATCTCACCATACATCATGTTAAAAACGTAACAAAGTTAGAGGAATTTAACAGAACTATATTTCAAAATGGATGATGTGACGTCATGATGTGATGACGTCAAAAAAGGAGGACGCCCGACGTTACGCGGCAAAATCAGTAAAAAATACTTAAAATCACTTAAAAAGCATGAAATAAAAAGAAAATTTATTTGTTTTACATATATGATTGAAATATAATTCATTCGTGAACACCAGCTATTATATTTTCACTCAAGTGTCAACTTGCTTGCCGAATTAGAAGCACGGTGCACAAAACATGCCGCCAATGGGGTTATGCTCGGGAAATATCAAGGCCGAGATTGAATGGGTCCTGAACCAGGCACCTTAAGCTTTTCGTACTTTCCTCCGCTGAATCTGTATAAGTTATCGCAATATAGATCTTTTTAGAAAATATTAATTTATATTGTATATGTTATTATTTTTTACATAATGATAACCCCGACCACACTACCCCCTCTGTCTTTATCACGTTTTTAGAACTTTAAGAGCATGTGATTTTTTGGAATACAGGATTGATTTGTACGCACGGGCGTACAGGAGTACGCCTAGTTACGCCCCTGGTAATTATAACAAATATCAGTTAACTTAATCATAATTGTTAATGAAACAATATTATTTTTTGAAGACCCCATACAAAAGATTCACCTTCATCATAATTATACAATGAATTTGTATTTTTTATACATTTGTATATGCAAAGTCTTATTGCATATGTAAGCAATGTCATCATACAGCAGGCGTATGTGAAGTTCACTTTCAGCATACACATGCAAAGTTCAGTCACAGTATACATATCATGTTCACTTACACAGCACATACATTAATATGCAAAATTCAATAACTGCACACATCTGTAAAATTCACTTACTACACATGCTTAGTTTTCTTAAAGCACACATACCAACTTCACTTACAGCACATACATTAATATGAAAAGTTGAATTTCTGCATACACTTACAACACATGCCAAAATCACTTAAAGCACACATATGCCAAGTTAACTTAAAGTAAATTTATGCTAAGTTCACTTAAAACTTACATATGCCAAGTTCACTTAAAACTTACATATACCAAGTTCACTAAATATATGCTAAGTTCACTTAAAGTAAATATATGCTAAGTTCACTTACTGCTCACATACGCCAAGTTCACTTAAGGCCCAAATATACAAAGTTCACTTACTGCATACACATGCCAAGTTCATTAACTGCATACATATGCCAAATTCACATACTGCACGCATGCCAAGTTCATTTACTGCATACATATGCCAAATTCACATACTGCACGCATGCCAAGTTCATTTACTGCATACATATGCCAAATTCACATACTGCACGCATGCCAAGTTCATTTACTGCATACATATGCCAAAGTCACATACTGCACGCATGCCAAGTTCATTTACTGCATACATATGCCAAATTCACATACTGCACGCATGCCAAGTTCATTTACTGCATACATATGCCAAATTCCACATACTGCACGCATGCCAAGTTCATTAACTGCATACACATGCCAAGTTCATTAACTGCATACATATGCCAAATTCACATACTGCACGCATGCCAAGTTCATTTACTGCATACATATGCCAAATTCACATACTGCACGCATGCCAAGTTCATTTACTGCATACATATGCCAAATTCACATACTGCACGCATGCCAAGTTCATTTACCACATACATTTGCCAAAGTCACATACTGCACGCATGCCAAGTTCATTTACTGCATACATATGCCAAATTCACATACTGCACGCATGCCAAGTTCATTTACTGCATACATATGCCAAATTCACATACTGCACGCATGCCAAGTTCATTAACTGCATACATATGCCAAATTCACATACTGCACACATGCCAAGTTCATTAACTGCATACATATGCCAAATTCACATACTGCACACATGCCAAGTTCATTTACTGCATACATATGCCAAATTCACATACTGCACACATGCCAAGTTCATTTACTGCATACATATGCCAAATTCACATACTGCACACATGCCAAGTTCATTTACTGCATACATATGCCAAATTCACATACTGCACACATGCCAAGTTCATTTACTGCATACATATGCCAAATTCACATACTGTACACATAGTTAACAAATTGCATATAAGCAATCACTCACGTCAAAGTTCACTCATGTCACATACATTGTTCATTTAATAGGGTATCAAGAAGAAAATTAACAACTCTCTGTAACACCTGATCACTGATCAAACCAATCAAGTTTCTTTTGAAAGCTCCTCAGAATTAATGAACACATGTTAGTTTTTCTTTTTATAGAAAGGACATAATAATACATAATTGAATGTAATAAATTCTTATTATCTTTTAAAGATTCAGTACATAAATTTCTTAGAGTCAAACAACATAAAATTGTCTTCCTCAATTTTGATTTAATCCAACATAAGTAGAGACTTTCAATGGACCTCAATAATTAGGATCTCGCAATTAAGGTTCCTTTAATAAATACACTTCAAAGGATTCATATTTTAAAGAGAAGACATCTTAAGTTAGCTTATCAGGTTTTAATTAAACCTACCTTTTTCCAGTCAGTGATGTCTTTTAACTTCCGGAACAAGAAAATTCCACGGCCTTGGGATTTTGCTGCGGGTTTCATAATCCAAATAATTCCTGGATTTTTCTTGAACTCTTCCACAAAAATGTGATACTCACTCTGTAAAAAATAAATGACAAATATTTTTTTAAGCCAATCCACATCAACTTTTAAGCTTGTTTTAATGTCTCCTTTCTTAGCAAGATAAGAAATAATTATTCAGTTTGACTTCCTTTCTTTGTAAACAATGTATGGCAATAAACATGCAAAAAAATTATATAACATTGAATTTTGATTTGATCCCTACATAACGCCCCATTTGCCCCTGTATAATCCCCCACATGTCCCTATATAATGCACCACACATTCAGTATTTAATGCACCATATGCCCCTATATAATTCCCCAGGTGTCCCTAGATAATGTCCCTATATAATGCCCAAGATATCCCTATACACATGGGACATATAGGGACACATAGGAAATCTATTTTGTGTGTGTTTGGGATTGTTTTTCTGGTGGCAAGGGTAAACAAACCCAAATACACACAAAATACATTTTATATGTGTCCCTATATAAAATGCCCCACATGTCCCTATATACATGTTATGCCCTAGATGACCTATATACATGTATCCTAGGTGTCCCTATATAAGCTCCATGTGTAACTATATATTACCCTATAAAATATGTAAACTCCCTTATTACATAAACACTGTAATTTTATTGAAAATTCCTTTTTGTGATCTTATCACATAATTAGAATCTTACAGGTAATTCATAGGTTGTTGGAAAGAAATCGAAACTCTCCGCCTCTTTTTTGCCCATTTCCCTCTCTGTCTGCTTTCTTAAACGTTTTAGATTCTTTACCATCAAATTCTTTCTTGTCAACTGAAATATAGCACCAATGATTATGGAATAAAGCATGGTTCATATAACTATATATCAAATATAGCTCTGGTAATATGAAATGAAAAACTGGTAATATAAAATACAGCACTGGTAATATGAAATATAGCACTGGTGATATGAAATATAGCACTGGTTATATGAAATATAGAACTGGTTATATGAAATATGGAACTGGAAATATGAAATATAGAAATGGTAACATGTAATAAATATTGGTAATATGAATAAGTACTTGTAATATGAAATATAGCACTGGTAATATGAAATAGAGCTCTGGTAATATGAAATGTAGAACTGGTAATATAAAATATAGCACTGGTAATATGAAATATTATAGCACTGGTAATATAAAATAAAGTACTAGTAATATAAAATAAAGTACTGGTGACTAGTAATATGTTTCCTACAAATGGAGGATAATATTATGAAAATATATGTGAAAAAATATTAGTCAGAAATATATTGTTATATAATTTTGTCCTTAAAAAAAGGTTTTTATGCTTTCATAACTGTATGCTAATGCTGTCTATCATCATAATTTTTTCATTTGTTGTCCTCATCCCTCATGACAACAGAGAAAACTTGTTGGAGACTTGCTGGAGACAGCAGCTAGTAATTTTGTTATAAAAAAACAATCTGACAGAGACAGTAATACTATAACTACTGCAAAATCATTATTATTTGTGGGTGACTAATTTTTGTGGTTTTTGTGGATAGGTCAAAAATCCACAAATTTAAACTCCAATGAACATTTCATTTCATCTGCTGTCAATTTATTTTGCGTAACATTATTTTAATCTTAATTTTTGGAACCGAAAATAAACAGTCCCATCAACGAAAATGTTCTTTGTGACGAAACCATGAAATTTCACGCCCACGAAATTACGTGAATTTACAGTATTCAGCAATGATGGCACCAAAATCTGTCTGTAAATACCACACTTTTATCACAATTGTAATGTTCATTGAACTTTCTTACCTCATAATGATTCCTAAAGTGTAAAATTTTCTGATGTTCCTGAAGAAACATTGTGTCATAATTAGCATGAAGCCACTCTCTGTCGCACCAGTAAAAATCCCAATCCCCATCACTGAAAATATATTTTAAACCAACACATATCAGATAACTGGTATTAATGACCACTTAAAATTACCGTATATACTCTTCAAAAAGGTCCACCAAATACAAGTCCCGAAATTATATGTAAAACCCAATTTAAAGCTTAAAGTAACCCAATTGGGTTCAATTGTCCCCCATGGGACTTATAAAATTTGGTTTCAGTTTAAAATTTCCTAAATCTTAACAGAAGAAACATAAGTTAATTTGTATTGTTGAAACTAAACCAGACTTTTAAGTAAGTACATACGGTAGTTCTTAAATAGAATGAAAATATTTATTTTAAAAAAAAAACAGCCTCTTTCTAGTATTCTGTAATGTTTAACAAGAGCACCGCTAGGCGGAGCATTATATGCCCGAAAGTGTGTGTGTTTTTTTTAAGGATGAAGAATTTGTAAGACATTACATAATGACCTCCTTCCAAAAGCAATCCTCTTTTGAATATTCTGGGCCAAATAGAAATTAAAGTATGCTCCGGAAACTGTTTTCAGTTTTAAAGTAATAATGACCTTTGACCTTGTGACTCCAAAATCAATAGGGGTCTTCTACCCAATATGGACAATCATCCTATGAAGTTTGAATATTGTGGTCCAAATAGACCTTAAGTTACGCTCCAGAAACTGTTTTCAGTTTTAAGGTGATAGTGACCTTGACCATTGACCTTGTGACCCAAAAATCAGTAGGGGTGTTCTACCTAATATGGACAATCATCCTATGAAGTTTGAATATTGTGGGCCAAATGGAACTTAAGTTATGCTCCAGAACCAAATTGCTAATGGACGAACGGACGGACAGACGGATGGACGCCAGGGGGTATAACATAATATGCCCGAAATTCTTTCAGGCATATAACATAAAAAATGACACAACTTCAGCAACTGGAAACAATGAATTAAAAGCTTTAATGACTAGCCATGATTATTTCAAATAATTATAATAATTAAATAAACATGAAAAGACAATTTTATTTTCAATGCACTGACAGAAGAACAAAACAACTTATCAGTATTAATTGTTTGTGCTACACTACCGGTAATGAAAAGATTCTTGAATAATCAAACTAATTTACATGTAAATCATTTTTAATGGCAAAAGATTCTGTCATATTTGTAACTTCTTAAAAATTATGGACAACTGCTGCAATAATGAACGTTATGAAAAATAAATTACATGATTGTACACTGTAAAAGTAATTTTTCTGAAAAGAAAACAATGTATAGCTATATATTTTTCAATCCAATTAAACATAAAATATAAAATCCTGTGATGATAAGCAAAAACATGGTTTTATGGTGTTTTTTTTTTTAAATAATCATTACAGATCTGCAAAATTAAGAAGTTAAAAGTTCAGGACATCCATCTAATCTTTACAGTATGAAATTTTTCATTAAAAATATGTAAACACTTTGAGACGATGCTTTACACAAATTTAATATAGACAAGCCAGTCATTGTGGAATACAGTCAAACTTATCAACAAAAGCCAATACAGGAACGTATAGAAGTGGCCTTAATTTGTTCACTGTGGCCTTTGTTTATTTGTCCAATAACAACTTTGTGAAATATGATTCTTGTATGTTTGACAAAAGTTTAGTAATTGCCTATTAGTAAAGTATCAAAAACATGAATTTTACCTAAATGTCAGGTCTCAGATCCATAAGTTAGTATGCTACAATATATCATTCTAGAGTTATTCACCAGACATGGAATGTGTGTGTTATAGAAATACTATAGAGGAATAATTCACAATAAAACATATTTAAAAGACTTGTAAAACTCGACATTCAAAATTTATGTTCAATGAAACACTTGTTTCATAGTGTATGTCCAATTAAACACTTTTAAAGTCAACAATAGTGTATGTTCGATGAACCACAAGTATCAAAGTGATAGTTCTTTTGACATTGAGTTGGGGCTTCAAGGTGAGAGGAAAAAACCATCAAATATTCCATTAAAACATTCAGGAATTAGTAAAAGCTGTCTTTGAGATCTTTACTACATGTATTTGTTAAAAGAGTGATTAAAGACAATCTATTACCTTCAAAAATTATAATCTTTACAAAAAATTTATATAGTTATATTACATTATTTAATATTAATATACATGTTCAGAGTATATCAAAAGCAGAAGGTAATTGCTACATGTTAACATGTTAATACATAGGGGCATATCAAGAGCTTATAATTTCATAAATTTCATTCAATTCTTGGAGAAAAAGGGAGTTTCTATATTTTCTAATTTTAGGAAGAATTGTTATGGTATTTTATTACTGACATAGTTATAGTACATATATTTTAGGACATGTATAACTCACACTGTTCTTGGGGTTGGCTGGGGTGTTGGAAAGCCCCTATTAACAAAGCTGTAAAGTAAAAATACTTTTTGAAATGAACAATAGGAAAACAGCCAAGTCACATGTAACAAGCTCCTGCATATTACTTTCTAACATTATCTCTTTCCCTGTTGTCACAATAAGTAAACTTCAGTCAACAAGCATGCTCAGGACAGACAGACATAATTTTTCATCAAGCCTTCGGCTTCACATGTACAAAATAGCATTTCATTTTGAATTTATGGTTTAAGTCGCGTATTCAAAGGTTTAAATTTCCCGCTATATCACGGACATGCGCGTGACTACCGGAAGTAATAACCGGAAGCATGAAACACATGTTTTCACTTTTTGTTTTGGCGTTGTGGTTGTCGCGTGTTTTTGAAAGTTTGAGTTACTTTAAAAGTTATTTTACGTTTAACCGCATTATTATGGCCCAAGAGGCTCTTCTCGATAGGATAGACCTTCATGCTTCGGGTGAGGACGGAGATTTTTCTGGGTTTTCGGACCAAGAAATTACCGGTAAGAAAGAGAAAAAGTCTTCGGACAAAAAACGGTTAAAATCCGTCGTGGTGGAGAAAGAAAATAAACCTCCTCGTGGTAAAGGCAAAAAACAGTCAGGTAAAACTTTGAATACTAATTCTTCGGAAATATCGGACAGAAATTTATCCTCGGATAAATTTGATTTGAAAAACTTATCTAATAAGGATATTGAAGGTCTTAGGACTCTTCTTGGTATACAGCCTGTTGTTCAACAGAATCCTCAGTTTCTCCCTGATTGTGATAGCTATGACTATAATGAGGATAATTATGATTATATGGATGATGAATCTGTGAATGATAACTATTCTGCTGTTCCTGCAGCATTAAAACCTAACCTTAGGGTGGAGGTTGCTGCCCAGGATGTTGATATTGAAGATACAGGGATTCGTAATCTGTCAAAAGAGTTTTCTTCGGCTTTTGACGATGGTTGTACTGATAATCTAAGACTTGAGTCAGATAGTGATACATGGGATCTTCCCAAATTAAAGACACCAGAGAAAGGTGAGCCAGTGAATGAGTCCTTGGCCAATTTAATTAACACGGCATTTACTGCCCAGTGTGACTTAGACTCTATTTTGAATAAGTACCAAGTACCTAAGAATTGTGACAGGGCCATTCCGCCCATTGTTAACCAGGAAATATGGAAAACATTAGACAAAAGAGCCCATTTTCAAGATAAGTTTATGGTGGACATCCAAAATCTTGTGGTCTCAGGCCTAGGTCCAGTTGTTCAGTTGCTTGAGTATGTGAAAAAGAACAATCTTATGAAAAATGAGGCAAAGTGTATCTTCTCTGACCTGTTTACTGTTCTTGGTCAGGTGCAATACAACCTCAGTTTAAGGAGGAGATATCTTATAAGACCGTATTTGAAGAAGAAGTATTCTTCATTGTGTAGTATTTCGATGCCTATAACAACCAAACTTTTTGGTGATGATGTTTCAAAAGAAGTCAAAAGTTGTGATGCTTTATCGTACATTGGTAAGGATTATACTTACAGCAATTATAGAGGTGTCCAGCGTAGACGCTCTGGTCGAGGATTTGTTAACTCAAATTTTAGTAATTACGGCTAACAGTCATCTAAATACAATCAGCGTTCTGGTTTTAGGACTAGACCGTATCCGTTACGTGGACAATCTTTCAAGATTGGTCTAGGCGGACGAGGAAGAGGTATGAGAAGAGGTGCCTTGGCTTCTGCTACAGCCAGTGCCCCAAACGATCAGGAATAAATGAAAGGGTAAGTCAAGTTGGACGTACACAGTATTTTTTAAGTGTATGGAAAAAATTTACTTCAGATCCTTGGATCTTGAATGCAATATCGGGGTATAAGATAGATTTTAATGAAAATCCTTTTCAAAGAAGCATTCCTAATGAAATTCCTTTTTGTTCAGATCAAAAAGCAATTGTTCATAATGAAATTCAAGATTTGTTGAAAAAAGGAGCAATTATTAAATCAGAATCAGAGATTGATCAATTTATTTCAACAATATTTATTGTTCCTAAACCTAATAATAAATTTCGACCAGTTATAAACTTGAGATTTTTAAATGAGTTCGTACAATATAGTCATTTTAAACAGGAAACATTTTCTATTGTTTTGGATTTGATTAAACAAAATGATTTTATGACAAAAGTTGATTTATCTGATGCATATTTCTCTATTCCTATACATCCTTCACACTGGAAATATTTGAAGTTTTCATTCAATTCTATTTTATACTCATTTGTATGTTTACCATTTGGTTTGAAAATAGACCCATATTTGTTTACTAAAGTATTACGTCCCATTTTTGCTTGGTTTAGACAGCAAGATATACGCTGTTCTTATTATATTGATGATTCTATTAATTTTAATGAGTTGTCACATGTGTGTTTGAATAATACGGTTACTATTACAAAGACATTACAGAGTTTAGGATTTACTATAAATGAGAAAAAGTCTGTACTAATCCCTTGTCAGAGAATTATTTTCTTTGGTCATATTATTGATACAGTTCAGTTCAAGGTATTTTTGACTGATGAAAAAGTACAGAAAATTATGTCGAAAGCATCCTATTTATTGCAAAATGAGGTTGTTTTGGTCAGACAGTTGGCATCTTTTATAGGTGTGATAGTTAGTTCTTTTTATGCAATTTTAGAAGGGCCACTACATTATAGAGCCCTTGAAAGAGACAAGTTGATAGGTTTAGGTCAAAATATGAATTTTGATAATAAAGTTAGTTTGTCTACGAAAAGTATTCAAGAAATTCAATGGTGGTTAAAAAACGTGAAGAATAAAAATGGTAAAAGAATCAGGCCTATTTCTGTATCCAGAAGGTGTTTTACAGATGCGTCGATGGAAGGTTATGGTGGAATAGACCTGATTTCTGGCTTGCACACACAAGGCAGATGGAAAAATCAGGAATGTGGTTATCATATTAATTATTTGGAACTCCTTGCAGTTTTTTACTGCATGCAAGCATTTTACAATGAATTTTGTGATATTCATATTGAGATTCATTCAGATTCTGTTTCAGTGGTAACTTACATAAATAATTTTGGTGGTATGAATTCTTTGGAATTAGATGACCTTTCAAAATGTTTATGGGAATGGTGTTTGAGTAGAAATATATATATTTCTGCTGTACATGTCCCTGGTAAATTAAATAGTGCTGATTATTTTTCTAGAAATTTTTCAGATTCCACTGAATGGACATTGAAAAAAGATATTTTTGAAAGATTATGTAGACACACATTTATGCCTAACATAGACCTTTTTGCTTCTAGACTTAATAATCACTTACCTAAATTTGTTTTATGGTTTCCCGAACCAGGGGCTTACGCAGTTAATGCTTTTTCATTATCATGGAAGGATATGATACCATACATCTTTCCTCCATTTAATTTAATTGGGAAAGTACTAAATAAAATTGTTATTGATGAGGTTGATAGAGCTCTAATGGTTGTTCCTTTTTGGTTCACACAACCTTGGTTCCCTATTCTACTTGAAAACCTTTGTGATTTTCCTATCAGGTTACCCAGACACAGAGATCTTCTAGTTTTGCCGCACAATGGAACATTACACCCTTTAGGAAGAAAATTAACAAGAGCTGTCACAGGAGACAGCGAAGCTCGACTAATGAAATACTGGACGCAGTAAGGAGGACAAAACTATGAAAGAAAAATCAATTATGTATAATTATGTATTAAGTTACAGTAAAAAATAACATTTGTTAACATAAATTCCAAGATCAAGGGGAATAATTCTAGAAATAGTCATGCTAGAGTTATGGACCTTGCCACACAACATTTGTGTAATGATAAGAAATATATATTTGAAGTTTGAAGTAGATACCTTAAAAAATAAAGAAGTTATTATATTTCTTAAAGAAAATCCTAAGTTCAAAGAGAGATAAATCTGTAAATATTGCTTCAAGAGTTATGAACACTGTCACATAAAATGTAATTGATGATAAGGAATAAGTATTAGAAGTTTGAGGTAGATACCTTTAAAAATAAAAAAGTTAAAAATAAAAAATACATTTTTCTAGTAAATAAATCTAAGTTTATGGGGAGATAATTCTTGCAATATTGGTGCTAGAGTTATGAACCTTGTCACATAAGATGTGGATGATGATAACGTAAATATAATTGAAGTATGAAGTTGATCACTTCAGAAATAAATAAGTTACAGTAAAAAATAATATTTTTTATGGAAAATTCTAAGTTCAAAGGGAGATAAATCTGAAAATATTGGTGCTAGAGTTATGAACCTTGTCACATAAGATGGGGATGATGATAAGGTACATATATTTGAAGTATGAGGTTGATCCCTTAAGAAATAAAGAAGAAACAGTAAGAAATATTATTTTTTGAGGAAAATTCTAAGTTCAAGGGGAGATAAATCTGAAAATATTGGTGCTAGAGTTATGAACCTTGTCACATAAGATGGGGATGATGATAAGGTACATATATTTGAAGTATGAGGTTGATCCCTTAAGAAATAAAGAAGTATCAGTAAAAAATAGTATTTTTTAAGGAAAATTCTAAGTTCAAGGGGAGATAAATCTGAAAATATTGGTGCTAGAGTTATGAACCTTCTCACATAAGATGTGGTTGATGATAAGGAACATATATTTGAAGTTTGAAGTTGATACCTTAAGAAATGACAAAGTTATAGTGAAAAATATTTTACTGCACCAAAACTTTAATCTAAAATCTGGACGCGGACGTGGACGCCGGGGCGAGTAGGACAGCTCTCCATATACTTCGTATAGTCGAGCTAAAAATGATTGGAGTGGTGTTATCAGGGAAAGCCTGCAGAGTAAGGGAATTTCATCAAATGTTGCAGATTTCATCGCAGAATCTTGGTCACAGGGCACGAGAAAACAGTATAGCAGTGCCTGGAAAAGATGGTATATGTGGAATTCTATTAGATGTTCCAGTCCAATTTGTTCGTCTGAAGGTGTAGTCGTGAGTTACCTGTATTTTTTATTTCAATCTGGTATGTCTTATTCGGTTATAAATCTTCATAAAGCGATGTTAATGCAAACATTGTCCTTATTGGGAAATACATGGTGTAGTGACAACAAAATGATTGTAAGATTCATGAGAAGTGTATTTTTACATAAACCGGCTAAACCGCGTTATATAATGATTTGGGATGTTTCTGTTGTTTTGTGTTATTTACAAAAGTTAATGCCATTATCTAGGTTATCTTTGAAATTATTAACTTTTAAAACCTTAGCCTTGATTGCTCTTGCAACTGCACCAAGAGCTCAGACTTTGTGTTCTTTAACTTTAGACAATATGTTTATTCAACAACAGGCAGTTGTTTTCACATTCACGGATATTTTGAAGACATCCAAGACAGGTCAATATTACTCTATAAGGATAGAGCATTATCTCGAAGAAAATATATGTCCAATGCATACTCTACTTTATTATGTTAAAAAGACTGCTGATATTAGAAAAAGTAAAAAGGTGTTTGTTTCATATGTTACCTTTAATGCTGTTTCTTCGAGCACTTTGGCAAGATGGTTAAAAAATGTGTTAAGTTTAGCAGGGATTGATATAACTAAATATAAGGCGCATTCTTATAGAGGAGCATCAGCTTCGGCTGCCTATAATAAAGGATGTTCACTAAGGGAGATTTTAAAAACTGCTGATTGGAAATCATCTAAAAATTTTCATAAATTTTATTGTAGAAACTTAGAATCTGGTATTTCTTATAATGATGCTGTTTTTGGAACATAGAATATTTTTTGAGGTATTAAACTTGGAAAATATTTGTTTTTTGTTGCCTTTAAAGATGCTATTTTGTACATGTGAAGCCAAAGGCTTGATGAAAAATAATGGACCCCCATCCAAGCTTTAGTGCAGGATGGAGGGCATTATTTGAATAAAGCCGGAGGCTGAGCATGTACAAACCCTCCCTTGTGTATAGTATCATAGTAAGTGATAAATGTCTTATTATATAATATAGAGAGGTTTTAACCCTCCCTTAGTTGCTTTATTGCAACAAAAAACACTCTTTAAATGAGTGAAAACATGTGTTTCATGCTTCCGGTTATTACTTCCGGTAGTCACGCGCATGTCCGTGATATAGCGGGAAATTTAAACCTTTGAATACGCGACTTAAACCATAAATTCAAAATGAAATGCTATTTTGTACATGCTCAGCCTCCGGCTTTATTCAAATAATGCCCTCCATCCTGCACTAAAGCTTGGATGGGGGTCCATTTTATAAAAACAATCAAATTTTGCAAAGAAGGTACCTACATGGATATGCAATGTGTATAATATATAACATTGTACCAGCAGGTGGCTAAACTAAGCAAGTATTCCTGAATTCTTTACCAGTGGGTGCTGTGCAATTATTTGTTAAATTTGTATGAAATAACACTGCACAAGTATGAATCTCTTAAGACAAACAGCCCTCAACCAAATGACCAAATAATCATGCTAATTAAAGACTCAGGTTTATGAACTCCCAAACAAGCCTATCTACTTAATTCATAACTGCCCTGGCTGTGCTAACTTGGCAGGCCTATATAAGACGTGGTCAAGCCCAATGAAATAAAACAAAAAGCTACAAAATGATAAAAAAGTATAAAAAAATAACTAGCTACAATGTAATAGTTTCCTACTTTCTTTAGGCATTTTCATCTTACTGACAATCGCAATTTTCAGAATCCACTCTACACAATCCATATGCCCGGGTTACCGAGGATGACAGTTGCTAGCAATTTAATAGTCCAGAACCATGTGGTGTATATTTTTCCTTTGTTTGGGTACAGTATTAAAGAACCCTTCTCAATTGAAAATATAGACAATTTTTCCCAATTCATAAAAATGAAAATTTATCCAAGTATACAACTTTAAAATATCATATCTGCTGGGAAATGAATCCCTGAAAAATACTCAATTAAAATCTAGAATATGCCAATGGTATATGTAAACTAGCATTATTGAATATTCAAAAGATACAAAAATCGAGACATTGATCTATATATTGTAATGATAAATAAAACAGAAGATATGAAATTATGTCAGCTTTAAAAAAATCCTAATTTTGCCATCACAATGTGCATTTTTTTCTGAAACCAGACCTTTTCAAAAATATTTTTTTTTTTTTAAAATTGTTGTTTATGCATAACTCACTATAAAACAAAACACAATAAAACAAAACTTGTAATATGAATAAACAATCTACTAAATACCCTGCAACAAATGGAAATAACAACTAAAACATTTGCATGAACTACCCGATATTACCTGTGAGTTACATACCTTGATTTTGATGATGTTGTCGCTGAGCCTGTTGCTTGGTTACTGGGAGTGGAATTCTGGGTACTTAAAAACACAACACTCAACAAACATATAAATGACAACAAGCAAAATAGATCTTATGACAAACACAGAATTTAATGAATATAATAATGAAGAAGGAGAATTAGGAATAACACAGAATAGTACCATAATGCCTTTCATCAATTATACTGTTGTTTAAAAAACAAATCAGTTCTCAGAAATAAAATTGATTTATAATTTGATCTCTACAAATTTAAACACACTTTGGCTTATTCCTTTGCTGAGATATTGATTGGACCAAGATTGTACACACAAGCTTCAGCCTGACCTTGACCTTATGATTTCAAAATCAGAGACTTAGAGTGTTACTGTGACCTTGACTTGTAGACCTCAAATCAATAAAGGACATCTACTGACCATGGAAATGTCAAGTTACATAAAGTACTGCTTATTCCTTTTCAGTGATCAGACATGGATTAAAACAACACATCACTGTGACCTTGACCTTTGACCTACTGAAATCAAAATTGGTTAACAACTGGCCATGGACACTATTCTTACTAAGGTTGTCAAATTTTGTCTAATACACCTTCTCAAGTTATTGATCAGACAAGGATTTCACAGAGTAACAAAGGGATGGATGAACAGACCCATCCATTTTTTGAAGGGGGAGGGGCATAACAAAACGAATTAAATTATAAAAAAAAACAACAAGAGCGATCAGTAATCACATGTGTCGCCTCATGATGGCCAATTTCATGTTGGGACAAATTTTGTGACAGACAGACAGACAGACAGAAGGACAGTGCACAACTACACTTGGTACTGATCATTCCTGTAAAGTTTGAATAAAATTGCACCAGTAGTTTATGAGGAGTAGTCCGGACAAGCTTTTGCGTATCTGGCAACACACAGAAAAAAAAACCTTTTTATCAAAGGGCCATTACTCGGCCAAAAATCATTCAACCAGAAAACCCGTGCAATATGCGCAAGGACTTGAGCTACAGATCAATCCTATAAAGTTTCATTGAAATTGCATTAGTGGTATATGAGAAGTAGTCCGGACAAACTTTAAAATTAAAAATTATTAAAGTGCCATAACTCTGACAAAAATCATTGAACCGGAAAATGCTGACTATATGCACAACAACACTTGGTACTGATCATTCCTGTAAAGTTTGGATGAAATTGCACCTGTAGTTTATGAGGAGTAGTCCGGACAAGCTTTTGTGTACCTGGCAACACACAGAAAAAAACAACTTTTTGTCAAAGGGCCATAACTCGGCCAAAAATAATTCAACCGGAAAACCCGTGCAATATGCGCAAGGACTTGAGCTACAGATCAATCCTGTAAAGTTTCATTGAAATTGCATTAGTGGTATAAGAGAAGTAGTCCGGACAAACTTTAAAAATAAAAATTATTAAAGGGCCATAACTCTGACAAAATGCTGACAATATGCACAACTAGACTTGGTACTGATCATTCCTGTAAAGTTTGGATAAAATTGCACCAGTAGTTTATGAGCAGTAGTCCGAACAAGTTTTATGACGGACGGACGGACAGACAGACAGACAGACAGACAGACGGACAGACGGACATACAGACGACGGAGAAGTGATCCCTATATGTCGCCACTACTCTGTAGAGGCGACACAATAAATGGCATTATGGCACAATTACTAAGCACACAGAAAAATATTAAGGATGTCATGTGAATATATAATTATTCATGATAACACAACATAGAGGTTAAAGATGATTCAAAATGAACAAAGTTAATAATGTATTGTGAAAATTTTATAAGTTAAAAATGAAATCTTTTGAAAATGAAGGGCATATTTAATACAAATGAGGTGTGCCATGACAAAACCAACGTAGTCTGATCAGGATCCATGCTGTTCCCTTACAAACCCTATTACAAGTAGAGAAACTGATAGCGAACAGCATGAATCCTGATCAGACTGCTTGGATGCGCAGGCTGGTCTGGATCCACGCTGGTCGCAAACCCACTATGTTGGTTTTGTCATGACAAGGCTCAAATTACATTGAACATTTTTGTTACACATACAAAGATTCTAACATTCTAAATATCATAGGAAACTAGACTTAACTCTCCAAAATTTCTTAACTTTCTAAATTTCCAAAGATTTGAAGTAGCTTCAGGGATACCCGTATCCCAGGCAGCAGTGATCTTAACCTTTGACCTTACAACTTAAAATCAATAAGGGTCATCTACTTGTCATGGGCAATGTCAGCCACTCTCAAGTACAACAATCTTGGAATTATGACATCTCAGCCTTGATTAGACAATTGTTTTACACAAAGTATTACTGTGACCTTGACCTAGTGACTGTTGTTAAGCTGTGACCTTGACCTAGTGACTGTTGTAAAGCTGTGACCTTGACTTAGTGACTGTTGTTAAGCTGTGACCTTGACAAAGTGTTATAAATTGTGGAGTTACTTAAAGAAAGTAATACCTTAACATTTTTGAAAAGAACAAATCAAATCTTATGCACATTTATACTTTGTTGACCTATTAAATAATGTTTATTAAGTCTAATCGATTTTGAAATCTGACACAATTTGACCCTTCAGTCTAAGAACCAATTTTTCTAAATGCAAATGAATACATAAACATCATCCTTATCCCCCACCCATACTTCCCTAACTCACTTATTTCAAGGAAAGCATGATAAAATTCATAATAAATCAAGTTCACATTTCTTCTGCAAAATCAAAAGGATGGGGAGCATGTAATGGCCTGTTGCAACTGGATGACCTTAATTTAAGATTAAAGGTCAGGTAACATGTTACAGCAATGCTACAATGGCCAGATGTAAATACAAAAATACAGACAAACTAACCTTGTCTTTGCTGATGTCGTTCCTCCTGAAGAGGAAGCCCCTGTTGTGCTGTAAATAATTCAGTAATGAGAAAATGATGTAAAAATGATGAATGAACGATTTTTGTTTACAAAATAATTTACGCTATGATCAATGAAATAAAAAGAAAGACGAACAGCGTTTGGAAATGAAGCAAAGAAGAGTTAATGTGTGAATCACACATAATTAACACACATGATTCCAATAACCAGCATGTATCTTATTAACCCTTTCACTGCCATAGGGACGGCTTTTGCCGTTTCTATAATTATAATAATAATAATAAATTAATAATAATAATAAAAATAATAATAAATATAAAGAAAATTATAAGATCAACAATAATTATTATTATACTAGCAGATTAATGGAAACATTATAATACTAATAACAAATAATAATAATTATATTAATTAATAATATAGTAATTTCTTAGAAAATCCTCTGGCAAATAGGTGATCAATAATAAAACAATAACCCTCTGGCAGCGAAAGGGTTAATAACTGATTAAATTAAACAGGTCAATTTAATTTTTTCACTAATTTACTGAAGCCTGCCATACCATAAACAATATATCATGTCAACCCACCTTTTATCTCTTTACATTTCATTTCCTTTACAACAAGAGCTGTCGGTAGGACAGCATGCTCGACTATTCTTAGTGCTTGATAGTAAAAAAAATGCCTGATACAGTTACCTCCTCCTGTTTACAGGTTGGGGTCATGATGGTGAACAAGTGTGCAAAGTTTCAAAGCCATATGTCAATGGACTTTGAAAATATTTGAACTATTACAAAAACTTTAACGTAAATTCTAAGTCGAAAAAGGGGCATAATTCTGTCAAAATGCTTGATAGAGTTACCTCCTCCTGTTTACAGGTTGGGGTCATGATGTTGAACAAGTGTGCAAAGTTTCAAAGCCATATGTCAATGGACTTTGAAAATATTTGAACTATTACAAAAACTTTAACGTAAATTCTAAGTCGAAAAAGGGGCATAATTCTGTCAAAATGCTTAATAGAGTTACCTCCTGCTGTCTACATGTTGGGGTTATGATGTTGAACAAGTGTGCAAAGTTTCAAAGCCATATGTCTATGGACTTTGAAAATATTTGAACTATTACAAAAACTTTAACGTAAATTCTAAGTCGAAAAAGGGGCATAATTCTGTCAAAATGCTTGATAGAGTTACCTCCTCCTGTCTACAGGTTGGGGTCATGATGGTGAACAAGTGTGCAAAGTTTCAAAGCCATATGTCAATGGACTTTGAAAATATTTGAACTATTACAAAAACTTTAACATAAGTGGTTACGCCGACGCCGACGCTCGGGTGACTGCAATAGCTCTACTTATTCTTATCGAATAGTCGAGCTAAAAATAAAGGAGCATTATAAATATATGATTCATAACTCTTCCATTTTTGTCTTTTTTCTGTCCTCGTTAAAAACCCAAACAATTATATTAAGAATACACCTGTCTGTAAATTTGAACCACGAAGGAATGAAGGTTTTTTGATTAGTCAACATTTTATATGAATTCAACCATTTTGCTTGTGTGTAAATAACTATTCAGTAAAAGACCATCTATCCATTTAGGAACATAAGATCAGTCATGAAAAGCCTGGCTTTTGACATACATGTATTTTCTTTGATTTTGTTTAAAAAGGGTTCATCATAGTCTGTTTGGGCACATATGAATGCTAGGTTATTTTTGTGTCATATATACACATTTGTCTATTTGGAAAAAGCCGGGATGTCAAGGCTGTTTGATTTTTAAAGTTATGTATAAAGGTGACATTATGACAAAATACTGCATCTTTACATTGTTAATTAATCTTTATTGGTTAATTATTGTAATTATATTACCTATATAATACATATGGCTGCAGTAAATTTATGAAACATACTCATTTTTTTTCTCACATAAAGGAATTCACAGTGCTGCCTGAAAAGGTCATTATAAAGATTTCTGACATATAATGATATATGGCCATGTTGTCAGCAATATAACCAATTATAATAGGCCATATAACCTGTCAAAACATTCTTTATTCATGGATATATCATAGGTTATTATAACTTTTTTAGATAAGAATCTCTATTTTGTATATAGGACAAAATGATAATGTTTATATACTTGTACTTTATACTGTTTATTATTAGACAAGTTCTGAGAATTAATCATCAAAAACAGAATTTCGCATCCATACTCTGTAGCAAATGAAGGTACAAAATGACCTATGTCAATCATATGACTACTATTAATAAAAAAGAGCTGTCAGTAGGACAGCCTGCTCAACTAAATTATTCTCAGTACATGAGAGTAAAACAAGAGCCTGGTTAATATACAGTATTTTCTAAGTTCAAAAAATAATCCTAATTTTGACATAATCCATGGTGGAGATTTGGACATTGGGACAGTCACCTCCTATTATTTTATTATACTCTCTCAGACTTATTACATAATTTACACTGTCTTTGTTCTCTCGAAATATTTTGCCATCTGCCAGATCAAGTTGAGAATAACAATGTAAAAATTTAAGTTATGTACAAATAAAATATCTAAGTAATAATCATGATAAAACTTGTTTTCTATAGAACTCTTATACAGTGAAAAATTTGTTCATGATTTAATTAACAACACTACACAAAATTAGAAAATATTGGGTCTAAAAAATAACCCTGTCAATAAACTCTTTGATAAACTTATTGTGATTTAAATTCTAAGTATTGTCTCACACATAGCTAAAACCATGTATATCCAACAATTTTTTTTATCTCTCTGGCCCAATTAGTATGAAGATCAGTGTTTGTACCAAACAGAAAATTAAAGCACTTTTTGTCAATTACCTTGTCTCAGGCATATTAATTATTTTTAACAACATACAAAAGATATAAATATAGTAAGGATAATGTCCACATTCCAAATGAATAGTCATTAGATTATTTTTCATTCACACATAAGTATTTAATATGTACTTGTTCAACACACTGAAAATGCTCTTTGAAACCCTAAATTTCATAACTATATTATAGACGAAGCAGGCCAGGTAACACCTTGGTATCAGACAGATTTAAAAAACATTGAATTTGGGCACATTCATACATAGGAAATAGAATATTGTTTAAAACAAGTTTACTTTTATTGGCTTTCATAACATTTTAATTGGCCATATCATTCAAAGAAAGAGCTAGAAAAAGGAATCTCCAACATAAGTAAATGACAGTACTACATCAAAATTAATACCAGCAAAGTGCCATCTTTCAAAGATGCGAAATTTCCCCCTTTTTAAATTTCTCTCAAATAAGTGGGTGAAGTTTCATTCCATCCAATAGGTTTTGACATTCCAACTTGCACGCAAAAACTTAACCAAAGTGTTGAGATGATGCCACTATGATGCTAACACCAGGGTGATCACAATAGCTCTCCCTATTCCTTGAATAGTTGAGCTAAAAAATGAAATCAAATCTTATATATATATAAGAAGATAATTGTAAAGTAATTTGAAAGAAAAGTCAGACAAGTAGGAAGATTGCTTGAGGGTTTTTTGGTGTTTTTCTTATTTTCTCCCTACAAAACTTGTTACAGATTTGCCTCCACCAGACTATTTAAATGAAAGAACTCAAATGTTACCTTTAATGTCATATATCAGAGATCAGGCAGATTAACAGAAAAAATGGAGTGCTAAACTAGGGGTATTAAAACTAAATGAGCCGTGTCATGACAAAACCAACATAATGTGATTGCGACCAGCATGGATCCAGACCAGCCGGCGCATCCGCGCAGTCTGATAAGGATCCATACTGTTCACTTACAGACCATATAACAAGTAAAGAAACTGATAGCGAACAGCATGGATTCTGATCAGACTGCGCGGATGCGCAGGCTGGTCTGCGGATCAATGCTGGTCGCAAACGCACTATGTTGATTTTGTCATGACAAGGCTCAAATGTCTCACAAAAAACCAGATGTAATCATTGAAAATCCTAACTGAGCTAATCTTTTCATTCCTTTCCATTTCATTTCAATGGTTTAAGTTTTTGTCCTTAGATGATAAGCTTTGAAAAACATTGTTTTACCAAGTTCTTGATAACATTGTTATAAAAGGTCACTTCCTATATTTTTATTCTCTATATGAGTTTTATTAAACATGCATATGGAACATTAGAGCAGTTATTAATTCTTTAAAAAATATTTTGATGATATATTGATAACAAATGGCAAATATTGACGATGCACGATATATATCTAGAAATCAACATGTGAATAATTGTCTTTCATACCTTTAAAATGATGTATGTTAAATACATGTTCTGTTCATACAATCATGATATATTTATCTGACCATTTTTTTTTTTATTACTGCTATGAAATATTATGCTTTAGACATGGATATCTGCTTCTATATATCTTATTGTTGATTTTTCATAATTTCTAGATATCTAATATTATTTTATTCAATGAGTGCAATAAATTCAGTAATAAACTTACACAAATTTAATATTCTATTTATCACATACCCAAAATAAAGACCAATTAAATTGAAATAAGAGTCCCTTTTCATTGACGCGCATATAGTATAAGGCAAACATTTAGCGCGTCTTTACACTATGTTTGTATAACACTAATGAAGTCACATCAAAATATATGCACGGCCGTACACTACCATATTTACGGAGTCATAAAATCGGCACGGGTGTGTGATAAAAAGAAAATAGAAGAATGAATGATAATAGTTTAGTACCCAGATAACTTTTAAAGTAAACCCTTAACCTGCCAAATTTCTTAAATGGACTTGCCCAGCTGCAATTTTTGGAATGTTCCATTATTAATTTTCTGAATGTATAATTATGTAATAAAAATGAAAATTCATGAAAGGAAGTCAGCCAACACTTAAAGACCCTGGTCTGACGGCACAGTTGCGCCAGCTAGCCTGGCTCTATACTGATGGCAAAGACTAATGACATTCCATTCCACAGGTTAAGGGTTTAAGACATCCAACTTGTACAGTAACAAGTTCACCATTGTGTGCAATTCTATTTACCCGTTTTTATCCTTCGACTGTTGACTACCAGAAGATGAACTAGAATAAGACAAAGAGCTCATAAATGTGATCTTTTCATAAACTCTCAGTCAAAGGGGATTACAAGTATCAATTTTCACTGTAAATAAAACTTGTTAATTCCTGTATGTTATTTTTTGTACATCATTAATTCTCTACAAAAATCCAAATAAACGCATCATTATTCTTGTTCTTTCCTTACATGAAATAAAAAGACTGTATTTGCAATAATTGGAGATTGAATTTGCAATAAAACCTTATTATACATTGTTGTAATTGTTCATAGATGGAAAAAAAAACACACAATAATGTAGAAAAAAAAACAATAATGGCGAAAAAACCAACAATACTCTGCAGACAGTGTCGATCTACCATTCATCTACAGAAGCAATCATATCAGAGAAAGCGAGAAGTCATGAATGGCTTACTGACGTGTATCATATAATACATGTATATAATAATCCTATATAACAAAAGTGAAACTCGTATTTATATGCTGTTAAAAAATGTTTGTTTTTAGTTTTAACTCTTCATTATACACGATTTATGCAAGATTTATTCAAGAAGTTTAATATTAATATATAAATAAACACGGAGCCTGTCTTACACTGTATATCTTAGAGCCAAGTGAATACCTTATCTTGACCTTTAACCTGTTGAATTTACTTCACAGATTTGCCCAACTTCCCAGTCGTTTTTACCTAAAAAATGTTCTCATTCCTGATAAAAAAAATCAAGTTACAAACAACAAAAACAAACATTTTTTGTTCAGCATGTGTGACCATTGTGACGACTACATGTATATATTGTTGCTTATTTTTTAAAGTAAACACCTGACATATGATTGCAAGTAGATAACACTGGATTTAACACTTACCCTTTCTGACCTTGTTGCTGCTGGTTTCCTGCTGTATTAGGACTGTGAATTTCAAGGTCACAAAAGTGAAAAAATAGGTCAAGGTCACAACATGGCAAAAATTTATCAAAATTAAAATGATACAAATGAAACTCAAAGGTAAAGATTCCATAAATATTAGATACTTGGAATTTCGTACTTTTTTTTAATAAACTGATATGTGATTAAAGCAATTATCTGGAAAAAGAAAGCATTGATTAAATTAAATGTCATTTTGTCATTTAACACTCAATCTGCAAGAACCATAAACAAATGGCCTTTGACCCTATTAAAGAACCAGGTCAACCTGCACATTCTTACTGCCCAGGCTCATAACTGGCAGCTCATTTTGAATTTGGTTGTTTGAGTTTCAAATGTATATAACACATACATGCAAATAAACAGTCCATGCATTCACAACATAGCACATTTAAGCTCTTGGTTAATGGCATTCTTTTAAAACATTTAATGACCTAACATCACACACATTTTCTGGGAATATTTTTATGAACTATCCTTGTACTAAACTTTCTTAAAAACGGACTATGAAAATTTTTTAATTTATATCTGAAAATATATATTTCTTTATCCTTTTTTATAATTTCTTCTATGACAGAATAGACACTGTCAATTAAACAAAAACACTTTGATGAAATCAATACCTTCTTATGACGATTATTCATAAATTCTTGATGATAATAAAAAAATAAAGATTTATGATATGTTTCTATATACATTTATGTAGAAAGAATACAGAATTGACATTTAAATAATATCGAAACATTGTATAAAAAAATAACACAAGTCTTTGCAAGTGAACTTCTACAGTAAAATATCACGTTTTCATTATAAAGGTTTTGTCTGGATAAATTCATATAATTATAAAAAAAAATCTTTGCAAAAATTGCTTGAAATTACCAATCAATGGGAGTTATTAATTTCTGCACGTAAATTTTCCCAATATCTGTTTACATGTCAAAACATTATAATCAGAACAAAATTAGATAGTAAAACAACATGTGACAAATAAAAGTACAACAATGTACATTTAAGGCAAAAAATTAAAAATGTTACAATTTCAAAACATTTAAGACACACATAAAAAACAAAAGAAAAAAAGAAACCTGGGGAATATTTGGAAAACTTACCCTGACACCTCTTGCCAGCCTGGACGAGCCCTCAAAACATCTAATATGGTGTTCTGCATCGAACATTTGTATCTGATTTCACGATCACTGAAATAAAACAATTATCAATAACTAGTACTGTAAAATTCCTACTAAACATTTATTAAAACACAGTTTTTCCTTCAACCAAAAATCATTGTAAATATCTTTACAAGTTTTTGTAATAATGTTAAAAAGTTCTTAAAGTTTGTATCTTTGTGTTAACTATCAAACAAAATGTATTCTAAAAGATTTTCAATAAAATTATGGGTCCAGCTCTGATGAGTAGAATTTTTCCTTCTCTGGTTGGGGGCTTTATTAGGGAATTTATGGTATAAAAAATATATTTATAAACAAGATCTGGTGTTGTGAACAGGTATATGCCCTAGAAGCCATACAACATCAATACATTCATTTTTATTTAAAGTTATGTATGACCTTGAACTTTGAGCTACAAGCCAAGGCTTTGCATGAGATTCTACTCAAGGAGTTCAACATTTTAATATAAATAATCATTTCAAATTGCATCCATTAATGACAGTCACAGATGGACCAGTCACCACCATCTATTCACACACAATCATATTTTTACTTTGAACATAAATCAAAGTATGACCTTGACATTCAACCTGGGCACCTGATTCTTTCACATCTTCACCATATTCAACACATTTATGCCAAGTTGTTTTAAAATCAATGAATGACAAATTTGTTGACCAGTTTAAATTATTGATAAATTATAGCCAAAGAAAACAAGTTTTTACCCGATTGGACCTCTGTTCCTGTTTCCTTTTGACTGCATATAGCCTGGTACCTAGAAATAAAATAGAAAAGTAAAAATAAAATCAGAAAATATAATAACCATAATAACCATAAAAACAGGAAAAAAAAATTCTACATTTTGCTGTTATATTGTTTACTAACATTTTGCCTCAGATTTTACTAGTTCTACCTACGCTTTGCCTTCAGATTTCTCTACCAATATTTTCCCTTCACACTGTTCAACCAACATTTCACCTTCTTATGTTACATTTTCACAAGGGAAACATTAGATTTGATTAATAATTTGCTAATACAAGGGTAAATACAGAGACATATTAATCTTTCTCTTGCTGTACAGACATGATAGTTTTATATAACTCTTAATTCTACATAAATATCAAATATATCATTGTATCAAAAATAGCAAAAGAACACAAAAGTAAGATTAATTAATTGTTATGTACAACAATGTTTGGTAAAAAGCACATCAACACAAAAACTTTGAAAACAGAAGTCAACATAACAAATGACAAAACAGAAACAGCAACTGAAACAACTCATTAACTAACTATAGTGTTACTTTTGCTATTAACTAAAGCACATTGTGTTATTTATGATATTAACTAAAGCACATAGTGTTATTTTTGCTATTAACTAAAGCACATACTGTTATTTTTACTATTAACTAAAGCACATACTGTTATTTATGCTATTAACTAAAGCACATACTGTTATTTATGCTATTAACTAAAGCACATAGTGTTATTTTTGCTATTAACTAAAGCACATACTGTTATTTATGCTATCAACTAAAGCACATACTGTTAATTATGCTATTAACTAAAGCACATAGTGTTACTTTTGCTATTAAGTTCGGATTAACTAAAGCACATACTGTTATTTTTGCTATTAACTAAGCACATTGTGTTATTTATGCTAGCACCTAAAGCACATACTGTTATTTAGGCTATTAACTAAAGCGCATAGTGTTATTTTTGCTATTAATTAAAGCATATACTGTTACTTTTGCTATTAACTAAAGCACATTGTATTATTTATGCTATCAAGTAAAGCACATAGTGTTATTTTTGCTATTAACTAAAGCACATACTGTTATTTTTGCCAAACAAATTCACTAACTGCTATTGAAATAATCTTACCCTATTTATTTTTGACATTATGGATATATATTGCTCTGTTCTTCTCTACAATGATAGCTGTTTATATTTGGTATTTATTCATACATCCAACCCTGAAATAAACACGTCTATGAATACACAATAATTACCATACATCATAACAAATTAAGCTTAAACTTTTTTTACACTGCATAATATCATAGTTGCAAACTTGCAATTGATCTTGTCAAGGTGTAGACACAATAAAGCCAATCACTTTAAATGATCATTAACAGCAATTAAAAAGTTGTCTTTAGGCAAGTATTCTTTAAATATGTATAAGCTAGTATATTAAATTGAATTAAATATTTAGATATATTCAAATGGAATTTATTTACATACATTATTATCAAATTCATTACATTTTAATAAATTACTTACTACATATTTAACATGAAAGCAGGCAAGCCTACAAATGGGTACTTAGTCAGATGAAAAATCTTCTGTTAATTTTTTATTTAACATTTTCGTTTTAAAGGTGTCATTCAGTATTTAATGAACCTATTCCGTTTTCACTCAATACACCTTGATGATTATTCTTAAGCCCAAAAATTGCAATTGTTTTAAGAAGTGACTTCTCTCTCTAACTGATTTAGGGTTAAGTGAGATGACTTTAGAGAGAAGTTGGGAGACATGTTTCATGTCATTATTTTTTTTTTAATTATAAGATACTTTAGATAGTAAACTTTACAAACCATAAAGGAAATAAGAAACACCTCTCAAATAAAACAATTCTTTTATAAATCTACTTTTCATTAATATATATGGCAGTTTATTTAATCATGTAATCAGCGAAAATTTATTGAATCTGTCGCCATTTTGTGTTACCGACAATATAAATAGCCGCAATATATGTTAGTGTGTCACCGATTGGTCAACTGCAGTAGATACAACGCGTGTTAGAATTCGTCAATCGCATAATTACATAATGAGAAAGATATACATAGTGAACTTTTGCCTTGCAGCATGCATTACTAATTTCAAGCGGATAAACAGTAATTGGTTGTATAATTGAGAAGAAAACAAATTGTTAACAGATCTAGCATTGTAAATAGGTATGACATTAAATATTTCACTGATAAGTATCGAAATCTATATATTCTTTAATTGTTTTTATTTGATTTCCTTTTAAATATACTTGTGGCAAGCCAAAGTCTGGGCCTGCTTTGCAGTCCCTAACTTTCACTTTCTGTATGAAGACTGAAGTTGTTTCTTCTTTTATTCTGTGAGTGATATTTCATCTGAAAAAAACACCTTGTATAAAATATGTCCACCCTTAACGTGGAGTCCTGAGCTATATATATTCTATATTGCCTGCATACATGCACTGATGCATGCATGAGTCAGACGATTTCGAGTCATTTCGGCCCCAAGACGTATCAGCCCCAAATTACCCAAGACATTTCGACCCCGGACATTTCGGCCCTTTACCAAATTGGCCCCATATTTAGTTAGTAGTAATCAAAACAAACAGAACAGAACATAAACTTTATTAAACAAAACATAGTACACGAACACTGAAACATATTTCATCTGCTTATTATCAAGTTTTTTTCAAATTTGAACGATTAAAAAGCAAGACACAGAACAGTACAAACATTTATCATCAACAACTATTAAAGTAATAGTAAGTGACGAGTTTTAGCAATACAATACAACACAAAACAGTTAAAAAATTATCAGATAAAACAAACAATACTTTGTAAACAGTTATTTTTTAAATTAAAAAAACCCAAACATTTTTACAATAAAAGTGATAGATTTTCAATCAGAGCATACTTTTTATATTATCAAGAAATTATATCAGATCATAAGTTAAACAAGAGGGCCATGATGGCCCTAGATCGCTCACCTGATTTATCAAACTCATCCAAACAATTACCTAGACAAGCATTCTGACCAAGTCTCATGACAGGTGAGTCAAAAATGTGACCACTACAGTGTTAACAAGGATTATCCATATTTGAGCAGTGCGACCTAGTTTTTTACCCAGGTGACACATATTCAAACTTGACCTAGAAATTATCAAAACAAACTTTTAGACCAATTTCAAGGATACTTGGATCAAAACAGTAGCAACTAGAGTGTTAACAAGATTTTTCTATTTTTAGCTCCAGTGACCTAGTTCAACATGCGATTTCGAACTCATCCAAGCAATTACCTATACAAGCATCCTGACCAAGTTTGATGATAATTGAGTCGAAAATGTGACCACTAGAGTGTTAACAAGATTTTTCTATTTTTAGCTCCGGTGACCTACTTTTTCATCCGAGATGACCCATGTTCAATTTCTTCCCAGCAATGACCTAGACAAGTTTCCTGACCAAGTTTGATGACAATTGAGTCAAAATTGTGACCACTTAGAGTGTTAACAAGGTTTTTCTATTTTTAGCTCCTGTGACCTAGTTTTTCATCCGAGATGACCCATGTTCGAACTCATCCGAGCTATCACCTAGACAAGCATCTTGATCAAGTTTGATGATGATTGATGCAAAAATGTGACCACTAGAGTGTTAACAAGGTTTTTCTATATTTAGCTCCGGTGACCTACTTTTTCATCCGAGATGACCCATGTTCACACTCATCCGAGCTATCAACTAGATAAGCATCCTGACCAAGTTTGATGATGATTGATGCAAAAATGTGACCGCTAGAGTGTTAACAAGGTTTTTCTATTTTTAGCTCCTGTGACCTACTTTTTCATCCGAGATGACCCATGTTCGAACTCATCCGAGCTATCACCTAGACAAGCATCTTGACCAAGTTTGATGATGATTGATGCAAAAATGTGACCGCTAGAGTGCTAACAAGGTTTTTCTATTTTTAGCTCCGGTGACCTACTTATTCATCCGAGATGACCATTGTTCGAACTCATCCGAACTATCAACTAGATAAGCATCCTGACCAAGTTTGATGATGATAGATGCAAAAATGTGACCGCTAGAGTGTTAACAAGGTTTTTCTATTTTTAGCTCCGGTGACCTACTTTTTCATCCGAGATGATCCATGTTCGAACTCATCCAAGCTATCACCTAGACAAACATCCTGACCAAGTTTGATGATGATTGAGGCAAAAATGTGACCTCTAGAGTGTTAACAAGGTTTTTCTATTTTTAGCTCCGGTGACCTACTTTTTCATCCGAGATGACCCATGTTCGAACTCATCCGAGCTATCACCTAGACAAACATCCTGACCAAGTTTGATGATGATTGAGGCAAAAATGTGACCTCTAGAGTGTTAACAAGGTTTTTCTATTTTTAGCTCTTGTGACCTTGTTTCTCATCCGAGATGACCCATGTTCGAACTCATCCGAGCTATCAACTAGATAAGCATCCTGACCAAGTTTGATGATGATTGAGGCAAAAATGTGACCGCTAGAGTGTTAACAACTAAATGTGAACGGACGACGGACGGACGGACGACGGACGACGGACAATCATCGATCCTAAAAGCTCACCCTGAGCATGCTCAGGTGAGCTAAAAATCTTTGATATTACTAACAGCTAATTAGCAATACGCTATAAATAATTAATTCGTTAAACCTTGAAAAAAAAACATATATCTAAAGTGTTAGCTAAATGATTAATAGAGATCAAAAGATAATGATTTTTGAAGTATATTTGTAATTAATTTTGTTAATCAAAAAGTTTTTGCATTTGTCAACTGTTTTATAAAAAAACGATTCAGTGTCCTTATTTAGTTGTATTTATTGTTACACCTTGAAAAAAGCATTTATCTCAATAGCGATTGATAGATCTATAATGGATTATCAATCAAGGATTAAAATGTCATAATTGTTTGTGTGCCATGTACTACAATTTTTAACGATTTTAAGTATAAAAATACCTTTTATACGCGGAAAGTCCGAGAGGGGCCAAAGGCTTCGCGAGGGCTGTAGCGCTCTTAGATAACATGTATGATGCGTATCAAATCAAATGAAATCAAATTCAAACTAAATGAAAAATTCAAAAAAATATATATCCTATACCTAATGAGCTGTGAAAAAATCCTTAGTTAACTGGGCGCCACCATTTTGAAATCCCTTTGAGCTAAATATAGATATCAGAGCGCTTTTAATGAGCGTCTACATAATTCAGACTATTGCTAGCAGACGCATGCTAAGTAACACTTCCGGTGAAAGAATGATGTACAAAATCAGATAATAAACCTGAATTTCATTAATAAGAATTAAAGTAACAATTCTAAATATAAAAAGTTACTTTAACGTACCATGTATCCTTTTTGATAAATTAGCACATTAAAAATAACGTTAAAACAACAACTGTGGAAGGAGTTTTTCCAAACGCCGACGCATGCGCAGAGGTCCCCCTTAACGTTCAGAGATTTTCGGAATATTCCGAGCGCTTCGATGATAGGTTGAACACCACCAATTTATTCGTTTTGTTTATGATACAAAATACCTCCAAGAAAGATCTGGTTTACATGTACACTAAATATGTTAAGCTAAATCATAATTCATAAGAGCTTTCCGCGCCATAGGTAGCACATAATTTCATATTACTTAAATAAAACTGTAATAAAAATGGACCGAAACGTCTCGCGGAAAAGGGCCGAAACGTCTAGGTGCCGATTTTTGCATAGGGGCCGGGTCTCCCTAATTACCGACAAGAACCGTCAGGAACCGACAAGAACCGACAAGAGCCTATATATTACAAATAAACAAGTACAGATGTGTTTTTATGATTGTTAAACATGCAGGGCATATATATTTTTCATATTTGATAAGGTTTTTCTTGTATTTTTATAGAAAATTAAATATATGCGTACCGACAAGAAAAATTCGAGTGCAACGCGTACTGTTACTGTTACGTTGACACCGACAAGAAAGATTTGTTATTTTCAATATAATATAAATAATATAATCAGTTGCAAAAGTTGTGGTCAGAATATCTTATAAACATGTTTCAACCTTATTTGTAGTCATAAAATAGTTTTTCATGACATTCCATGAATGTATATGCGACCGACAAGAAAAAACCAGGGATCATGCGTAATGAAGATTTACCGACAAGAAATTGAGAACGGGCTGTAGTGTAGAAAGAACATGTATATAATCTTTCTTTTTGTAATTTAATTACTTTTAACACTTTAAACTTTCATATTTTAATGCTTATAAGAAAAAATATTTGTGTTTATTCCATTTAGTTTTAAAATATATTTAACAAATCGATTACCGACAAGAAAAAACCAGGGATCAAGCGTAATGAAGATTTACCGACAAGAAATTGAGAACGAGCTGTAGTGTAGATGTAGAACATGTATATAATTTTTTTTGTAATTTAATTACTTTTAAGACTTTAAACTTTCATATTTAATGCATATAAGAAAAAAATATTTGTGTTTATTCCATTTAGTTTTAAAATATATTTTAACAAATCGATTACCGACAAGAAAAAAACAGGGATCATGCGTAATGAAGATTTACCGACAAGAAATTGAGAACGAGCTGTAGTGTAGAAAGAACATGTATATAATCTTTCTTTTGTACTTTTTTTCAGTTTTTGAAGAAATTGATCACGACTTAATGCTCACCACTGAGAAGAAAAGACGGACATCGTGACGTACAAAGATGTGATGCTATGCATTATACGCTTGTATTTGTTTAATGAAAAAACATTGAAACCTATTTCGACCCCTCCACAGGTCTCATCAGGTTGTGGTTCATTTCTCCACTAGAAGTAAAGAAATAAACAGATATCCATACTATAGGTTTTAATATTTTATTGTCATAAAACTTACGGGCAGTTACGCCACGCCAGAGGTTGCAGAAATTTTTAACTTTTTTGTGTGTATTATATATATGTATTCATATGCTTAAATTTTGAGTAATTTTGTATCTCAAATTGAACATTCTCACATCACATGTGCATAAACCATTATTTTGTAATTATATATATATTCATGTCATGTGTCATTTATGTTTTATATGTTGTATTTGTATATTTAATATGGCCGTGATGAGTTTTTTATGCTTAAACCAAGTAATAAAGTTTCTGTTCTGTTCAATGTACGAATTATCTCTTTCTTTCACAGCTGTTCATTTCGAAATTGTTTTCGCACCTTTTCACGCCAAGCGTTTGCTATGAACAAGCGCAATACACGCTTAACCCATTACTTCATGAGCATTTTGTGAAAAATGGCTGTTTTCATTGAAAAGTCTCCCGTTACAAGTTCAAATTGCTATAATACTATAAAAACTGCTTCAACACTAATCAAACTTGGCACAAATGTTGACTGGACCATTGCCCTTGCAACAACATGTTCAGGCTTAAATTTTCTGTTACCATGGCAACGAGGGGACATCTCAAAATTGCCAAAAATCACTATTTTGCGTTGATTTTTTCCATCAAAATTGATTTCAAAGTGCTGCAACTTCTCAATGGATTGAGATAGAGTCAAATGCTTTTCAGCGTTGGTTACACGTTACCTTATGATCAATCTGAGGTCATTTATAGCCTCTCACAAGTCCAAAATTTTCTTGGCGATAAGGGGGACTTCGCCCACCTTCAAACCCCCCCCCCAAACAGAAGGGGGCACATCCCCCTTCTGGCAACCCCCTGATGTATCTTTTGGTTGGGGGGCCGCGCCGAAAAAGTGGTCACTTTTTTTAACAACATTTCTCAAACAAAAACAAGTGTTGGGGGCCTAAATAAGGCATTTTTTCACCATTTGAGACAACGAAAAGGGGGGGGGGGGTGAAAAAGGCGTTAAAAGGCGTGTATATGAAGTAATGGGTTAAAGTTTTCACAGCTTTGATTAAATTAAATCGCTCAAAGCTAACTGAGTGAGAAACACACGCGCACAAGCTTTAATTGAGTAATATCAATCAATTTTGTTTGAGCAATCGATTTTGAAATTTGTACTTGAAAATTTATTTTTTTTGCCCTGAATATGTTATATGTATGTATGCTAATAAAATAATTGAATTGAATTTATGTTTTCGTCCATTATTTTATTTCTATATTCTTATTGCATGCTTTACCGGTGTATTTGTGTAAAAATTGTAAATGGATTATAATTGGATAATTTAAATGGCAGGTATGTACAACTTTAAATATGAAATATATTTTGATACAGTTATGAAATACTATTATTTTAAACAACTATAACTGATCATTTTCATTAAATATGTTATATATATCTTTCCTATACATAATGTCTCTTTAAAGAAAACATGATCATGAAGCGTGATAATATTTCTTGTCGGTACTATAGGCATGAAAACATTTCTTGTCGGTAGACATGAACACATTTCTTGTCGGTACAGAAATATTGCCTAAATGCAGGATATTTTGTAATCAATGACAACGAAATGTTTTAAAATTATTTATTGAATATAGGCTGACAATAAATTATTTGAACACATTTAAAAACCTACGCCATTGATAGCAATAATGAAACTTTCTTGTCGGTATCCGCGAATATTCTCATATCATCATTCATTAATGATGATATTCTTAATTGAATTAGAAAACATTTAACATAATAATTATTATTTATAATACAACATAATCTTAATAAAAATAAATTATGATTTAACACTTATACACAAATTCTTAATGTAAAATCAATGATACGAAGATGGTCGAGTTCTTGACGGTGAGAAACTGAGACTGACTTCTTGTCGGTATAGATATTTGCCTATAAACATGGTTCAGAACGAATTTATTATGTTTTTTATGTAAAAAATATTAGGAATTGTTATTTTTAAATGATGAATAAGTGAAATTAATTCGTATTTTCCTATTTTAACTTCTTGTCGGTTCCTGACGGTTCCTGACGGTTCTTGTCGGTAATTAGGGAGACCGTAGGGGCCGATTTGGTTTGGGGCCGAAACGTCCTGTTTACAGCATAATATTTGAGAGTGCATTTTACCCTGTGTCGTATCTCTCCTGGTCTTGGGTCTTCAATAAGAAAAACCGCTAACAACTATATAGCTGAAAAGCCTTACTTCTCATAACATTTAAAACTCTTACCGTTTTTTTATCTACAAAAACTCTCTATAAACCCAAAATTGGCTAAAAAAATAAGTTTGTTTACATGCCGCAAAACGTTCTAAACCGGAAGTACCCAGGTGCTTGTTGAAGATGTTTCATGCGCGGATATTAATGCCAAAAATTTATTTATCTTTATTAGAATGAAAAGCTCTCATTCAAGTGTTTATGACGAATACCAATACTAATTTCTCGTTATCTTTTATCATATCACAGACTGTTTCAAGATTTTTAAACATTTTCCATATAAGTTGTTGTATGCACCGCATAAAATAATTTCATCCGTTCTGTCCATATGTCGTGAAAGATCAAAGTCCTCTCTTTCCAGGTAAAATGCTGACAGCAAAAAATTTATAATTAAGACCGTTGGAGAGGTGAAACAGTATTTTTGTCCTTTTTTATATATTTTGAAATCGGGTCTATGAATATTTTGAAATTGGCAGTAATTGAGGAAGTTTATCATTTTCATACCATTTGATTTGATTCTTTAGAAATTTATACCTTCACCTGTTAAAACCTGTAACTGCAGGTTGAATGAAGGGAAAAGAGTCAACTCGGCCCTATACCAACTCGGCACGGGTCAACTCGGCCCACTTTACAAAATAAATATAACGTATTTACTTTGATTTGCATGTTGTTAAGGTCAATGAATAATAAGAATATCATATTATTATATAATTATACATTGTACTTCTGCCGAAATAAAGTATATTTAGAAAACAAAGTTATTTGTTTGTCTTGCAGATTCGATAAAATGAATATACATATAATAAAAATGTGTTTCCTGAGATGCATTTTGTTTATAAAGTAATTTTCAAAAACAAAAAAGAAACAAAAACTTGTTTACTTTATATCATGAGCTTCTAATTGATTGCAGGCACAGGTGCTAGTGGCATTGATTTGACCTAAAATGTGTTTGACCTTGTTATTTATACAATAAAATATATTTAAAAAAAAATATTTTTTTTTCACTGTTAGATCTATATTATTATAGACTATATCTAATAATATAACAGTGAAAAAAAATTTTTAATTTTTTTTTAATATATTGATATTTTAATGTATAAATAACAAGGTCAAACACATTTTATGTCAAATCAATGCCACTCTAATTAAGCACCTGTGATTGCAGGTGGTCACTAATCAATTTTGAATTCATGAATGTCAATGAGTTAATCATAATTATCACCTAATTAATCGATATCCTTAACATATATATTGATTGATAATAACAGCCCATGACAATAGGAGTCCTTTAATGTATTTTACCGATATTTTTAAAAGTGGGCCGAGTTGACCCGTGCCGAGTTGGAATAGGGCCGAGCTGACTCGGGGGCCGAGTACGTTTTAGGGCCGAGCTGACCCGGATTCGAATGAAGATCACTGCAATACTGTCAATTAAAGTTGTTTGTGTATTTTGTTTTCCATTCCCTCTGGAAAGAGTTCGTCGAAGGAAACCATTGTACAATAGTCTAATAAATAGCCCTGTCGACTGTTGTTGGGCTAGTTATTGGTGCAGACCTATACATGATAATTGGTACAGAAATCATGGAAAAATATTACAAGTGCCATCATGACAGAAACCTGCTGTGAAGTCCCTAAATTAAAAAGGATGCAACCCCTGCTGATATATATACCTTAAACTAATCTCAGTAAAGCCTCTATCACAATTAACTGCCTTACAGCAGCCATACAAATGTATTTTAACAACAATAGCTGTGTTTTGTGCGGAAGACGCAAGAAAGTGGTACAAATTCTAAAGGTCCCAAGATTGCCACAACATCACAGACTGATTTCTCAACATGCACATTATTTCTGTGATTTTTTTTGACAGATTTTGGACGTCTCAAGTCAGTCTCAGTGATTATCCTGCTAATATAACAGACTCCGATTAAAGGCCTCTTCCCAATTGAAATTTTCTTTAAAATCATGCAGTTTTCCCAAAAATATCAACATACAACTGCTTTTTGACTTCCCAATTTGCAATTTTAGTGATAATTTTTCCCAAAAATCAAGAGGCTTAAACTGGCCTCTTCCCAATTAAGTGAGAAATATCACTGACATCTTGCAACAATCTTACGACAGACTCGTGAATTATCTTCAAGAAGTTCTCAAGTCACAAAGTTTTGTGCTTTTCGTGTGATAACCACAGGGTTACCTTACGAGCTGCGGTGAATGATTGTGTGGTTACAGCGGGCCACAATAGTTTGCTGTCATTTGGCAGTTGACAATCATTAGACAGTCGTACGACAGCTGTGCAACAGTCTTTCAACCGTTGTGTCAGTTGAGGATCTTATGAAAATCATATCCTTGCAAAATCCCAAACATGTTATGTAGCCCATGTAATCACACTTGGACTCTTATTCAACCTCTGGAAGAGGGTGCGATACTGACCAAGCAACCAGTGTCGCACAATCCAGGGTTTGACCCAACAACGCCACCAATGGCTGGCCCGTCTTCTCTGGCCTTATTGTGCTCTGATAAGCAGCACCAGGACTATTGCTTGGCGCAACCTTTGTGGTTGGATTGCCATCCCAGTTGGATTAAAACAATAAAGGGTGCTGTAATGAAGGTGTTGCATTCAATCCATTCTTTCGAATTCCTACAATGAACATTCAGACATTGTACGGCAATCTTGCTACAGTCTTGCGAATTCTTGTGAGTCAGGCAGTGCCCATTTTTTTCATTTTCGTACGACTGTCCTAACAATGGCATGTCTGTTGCACAGTCATTTTGCAACGACCGTACAAAATGTTGTTGGTTTTTGTTCTACTTTCAAGCTTGAATATTATGCGAGACATATGTAACACAGCATTCCTAGTCAAAATGCTTTTAAAGTACTTATCATGAAAACATTAATTATTTCAATAATTAAAAATTAACTTTCACATTTTAACAACCATTAAAAGAATTTCATGTTGTATAAATATTTTGATATAAATTACTTTTAGATTCTTAACGGATAAATTTTACAACTCTAGTATAAACATCATATGTCATAGTGGTCAATAAGGAAATATTATCACCTTTTGATTTTAATACTTTATGGCTTAATTATCAATTTCCTAGTCTTTTATCAAACAAGCCATACTTGATTATCTTTTGACATTTATTACTAATATAGCTTAAGGCTTAATCACTATGACAACTCTTTCTTAATTTATATTGTTGATTTTTGGCCGGGTTGCACTGGTGCAAACCAGGGTTATAGTATGGTGAATGTCGGGCAGCGTGCAGGGAAAAACTTTCGTAACAGTTTTCTCAGCAACTACTTATCACAGCCTCTTGATATTTGGTATACAGCATCAACACATGGTCCCATACCGTGGGATTTGATTTCAGGTCTGTCGCTCATCCACTTCCTGTTTGCAAACTTAGGTAAATTTTCAACATTAATGATCAATGGTAGGAAATTTTCGTAACAGTTTTCTCAGCAACTACTTATCACAGCCTCTTGATATTTGGCATACAGCATTGACATGTGGTCCCATACCGTGGGATTCGATTTCAGGTCTGTCGCTCATCCACTTTCTGTTTATAGACTTAGTTAAATTTTCAACATTAATGGTCAATGGTAGGAAATTTTCGTAACAGTTTTCTCAGCAACTACTTATCACAGCCTTTTGATATTTAGTATACAGCATCAACACATGGTCCCATACTGTGGGATTTGATTTCAGGTCTGTCGCTCATCCACTTCCTGTTTGCCAACTTTGTTAAATTTTCGACATTAATGGTCAATGGTAGGAAATTTTCGTAACAGTTTTCTCAGTAAGTACTTATCACAGCCTCTTGATATTTGGCATTATGATTAATATATAAACAAGCAAATTCGTTGAATTTATATCCCCCGCCGAGTACTGGTTATTATTAACACAACAACTGAAGACATAAGGCTTTATTAATATATTAATCATGGCATAAACAGTAATATTCTTTGAACTTGATAAATATTCAGGGAAATAACAGAGCCATAACTTTGTGTTAAATAGTAGCATCTGGAAATGCCAATGAGATGTATGCATACTACATAACTAATCAAGGGCCATAAATCTGTGTTATAAGTATCTGACCGGAACAAGGCTACTATATGCACATCTCCTCTTAGTATCCCATAAAGTTTCATTGAATTCCAGCCAGTAGTTACAGAGAAGTAGCACGGAAACGATTATAATGCTCTGGTTGTATACTGCCTAAGTTATCAAGGGTCATAACTCTAAGTTAAAATATCTGACCCAAACAAGGCGACAATATGCGCATGTCCTTTTGGTATTGAAGGTTCAAATAAAGTTTCTTTGAATTCCAGCCAGTAGTTGCAGAGAAATAGCGAGGAAACGAATATTTTTCTATATGGATACTGCATAACTTATCAAGGGCCATAACTCTGAGTTAAAGTGTCTGACCCAAACAAGGCAATGATATGCACATCTTCTCTTGGTATTGAAGGTTCCCATAAAGTTTCATTGAATTCCAGCCAGTAGTTGCAGAGAAGTAGTGCGGAAACAATTTTTACTCCATATGCATACTGCATAACTAATCAAGGGCCATAACTCTGAGTTAAAGGGTCTGACCAAAACAAGCCGACGATATGCGCATCTCCTCTTGATATTGATGATTCCCATAAAGTTTCGTTGAATTCCAGCCAGTCGTTGCAGAGAACTACTCCGGAAACGAAATTCTGACGGACGGAAGGACGGACGGACAACACCAAAACTATATCCCCCTCCCGATTCCATCGGCGGGGGATAATAAAGCCTTATGTCTTCAGTTGTTGTGTTAATAATAACCAGTACTCGGCAGGGGATATAAATTCAATGAATTTGCTTGTTACTATTATATGTATAGACCTAAATTGACTGACAATAATTTAAGTGACATTGTTGACACTTAGAATAATTAATTTCATTAAGATATATAAAATAATTAAAGTAACTATATTAAACTTTAGTAAATATTCTGTTTTATTCTTTTCTAAGAAGATCAAAATCATATGAATTGTATGGTTTTATAACAAATAATTAGAAGGTGTGGGGTTATGTCTGTAATGATATCTGTTTAACTCTGATACATAAACCTTGACCTTTTATATGTTAGCACAGTATTATTCCATGAATGCCTGAATGGGCAGCTCATATAATTTTATTACAGCGATTCCCCGCCATTAACCAGTTCTTAGATTAAACTAGATTAATTCACATCTGTGTTCTTCTTATTAAAACTCTGTATAATTACAAGCTATATGTATACGTACACAAAATAGAAAATATTACAATGTCCACTCTATAAAATTGAAGGTGTTGGTTTTTTGCTACTCTATAAAATTTAGGT